TTGTTCATTCCCCCTACCTGACCTGAAAAGAACTACTTTGTGGCATTAACAAAAACAGACCTAACTGTTCATCCAACAGGAAGAGGCTAGAATATCATGTCAGATCCACGAGCAAGGAAGTAAATCCATAACCCCCTTGCAAAAATTTTGAAAGATCAAAACAATATGCCCCCCCAATCCACTAGAGAAATGTTTTCTGACAGGACTTACCTAGACAAACCCCAGGAATTTAAAATAAAAATTATAAACATTTTCAAATGTTCAAAGAATCCACAAAGAGATGCAATGATAGACCAGACTGAACTTAAAAGAAGGATGAAATAAATTCCTAACGGAAGCTCAAAGCTTTATTCCTTACTGTCACTTGAGAAGGGTTTAGTTAACCTTTAATAATGTTCAAGAAGTGTTTAAGGGGCAATGTATATGTAATCCAATGTTCTGTGAACTTGGGTGATGGGACACACCTTTAATAACTGCATGCAGGAGCAGACACAGGTGGATCTCTATGACTTGGAGATTAACTTAGTCTACACAGTGAGTTCAAGACCATTGAGAGCTACATAGTGAGACCCTGTCTGGGAAAAATGAAACCCTAAATTAGTAACACATTGAATAACTTTATCAAGACACATGCAGTTCTAATCTGATGGATTTTTTGACAGAATGGCCTGTTAGTCAAACAATAAAATAGTTCAGTCTCTTCAGGATCTCTTATCTCCATCCAACTTGTCTCTCCTCCATCTCCTCCCTCCCTCACCTCTCCCCCATTCTCTTTTTCTTCCCCAAACCTCCTCTCACCGTCTGACTGAATTGATAAGGTATTTTCAAGGAAGTATTTGAACGTCATTTGTGAATGCAACTTCAGCTGTCAGAATGTTAACTTCCATGGATTCAGTCAGTTAGATCACAAAGCACAATGTGTTTCCTGTTACTACTGTTTTTCCCTGCCTGAACCGAGATTCTCCTTACAGCAGCCTCAGTGGACATTTGGGTTTTAGAGCTACTAAAAAAACGCACATTTGTGTTTTCTTATTTAACCTTTCCTGCCTGCTGTTCTGAGTGGTCATTTGTTTTCCTTGCTTGAACCTAGTTTGTGTTCTCCAACAATGCTTGCTTTCTTTTTACCTCAATAAGACAGGCCAAATTATGTGCTTTGATGATTTCTAGTTTGTATATCTCACTGTATTTCTTGAGGGTCATGTTTGCCTCTGTGGTACACATTTTTCCTTTAGAAAAAAAATACAAAAAACATAAATATAAACAGCTTCATCAAGATTTGCTTCCTTGGGGCACAATTTTGAATATAATGAAAACTAACAAAGACAAGAGATTTTGGAAAAGATCCTAACTAATTCTTCTCTGTCCTCATGAGGCACAAGGCCATTCCATGGAAAAATTTGCTCTGTCACTTTCAGAAAGATATAATTCATATTAAGTCGGTGAACATTTACAGAGGGAATATGGTAATATTTAAGGTCCATGATTTACAAAATAGTTTGCTAGAGGCCAAAAAAAAATTAGGGGCCATTCTGTAAACATTACTAATTATCTTGTTTTGAAAATAAGAGCTGGGCAGCCCCTGTTGGCCTGTTGCTCTCCTAGCCCAGGAGATATGAACAACAGGCCCAGTGCAGTTAATCAGGAGTTTTGCTCAGCCCTTTGTCCTTCCTTCTGGGACATAATTCACACCAGATCTCTACGGTGCTTAATGTGGATGTAGCATGTTGCACTAGGAACCCTCAGATAGGAAGGCTTAGCCACAGTGGCTCTGGTTGGAGAGCATGTGATCTCACTAGAAATGCAGAGTCAGTAACAAGCCCTCAATTCTCTTTTCATTATTTCTCAGAGTAGCTTTAGGAAGAAGAGCAAGACGCTCTCATGCACTGATGGAGGCACATATTTTTCTCATATCCTTCCATTCCTTGTAGTAGCGTAGTTCTTAACGTGGAGCAAAGACCCAGGCAAAACACTGGGCAGGAGCTGAGTGGAGTAAGAAAGAATTAAATCTTCCAAAATGTATATCCTGGATGCCTATATAGAAGAGTTTGGATAAAAGGTTTAATTCAACACAGAAACAGAGCAAAGAATAGATATAATTAGATACATTAATATATTATTTATTAGGATTTTACCTTTTATACATGTGAAATTTACAACATGAAGGAGATAAAATATTTCCTTGAATTTTTCCATTGAAACTCACACAGAATGAATATATTATTAAAGAATTTGTGTAAGTCACCACAGCATTTAGAAAGCACACTGCACACAGGAAAGAAGAGACTAAGGACCAAGGAAGAGCTAAAAGTTCCACTAACACACCATTTGGGTAATTTGATACCTCATCTTAATGTACATCAGTAAGGCTGTCTGAGTCTTTAGTAGTTCTACAGGCTAGTTAAGAACATTTAGTAAGTTATTAATTAGATAATACCTCAATTGTAGTTATAAATATCCATGTGTATGGCTGAAAGTTAGGCTACTGTAATACATAGTTTGAATTTTGGATGGATGCATGACCCTGTTAGGTTAGAAACCTGTGAGGCAACTTTCCCCCATTGTCTGAATGTAAACAATAGAAGACATGGTGTTCCACGTGGAAAGTACTTTTCAGAGACAGGAAGAAGTCTCACGGATAAAGTTGCTTTGTCTTACAAGACGTGAGCTTGATCTAGAAATGCATGAAAATTTGATAGGGAAAACCAATTCCACTCAGTTGTCCTCTGACCTCTCCATGCACAAGCACTTACACTTACATCACACGCACACACACATAAACACACACACACATACACACTATTTTTTTAAAAAAAAGTTTAAAAATTGAACTTTACAATGTCTGATGAATGAGCACCAAGAGGTTAACTATTACTATTTAAGTTCAATTCTCATTGGCAGAGTATTAAGTAACAAAAGGCTCTTTTTTTTTTATTTGTCATGTAAAAAAGAGCATATTATAGTTTGGGGTGACTATGCTATATTAGGAATACGTCAAGGAAGTTTACATAGGTTTTATAAAGATTTCTCACTTCATTTTTTTGTGGTCAGCTGATCTGAGCATTCAGTTTTACAAATAGAAGAATGGATTCCAAGAAAGTCAAGAATGTGTACTAATTATATTTTAAAGACATTTCTAGTGATGGTATCTTAGTCAAGAGTTTCTATTTCTACAATGAAACACCATGACCAAAAACAAGTTTGGGAGGAAAGAGTTTATTTGCCTTACACTTCTACAGCACTTTTCATCACTGAAGGAAATCAAGGCAAGAAAGCAAACAGCAGGAGCCTGGAGGCAGGAGCTGATGCAGAGGCCATGGAGGGGTGCTGCTTAGTGGCTTGCTCCACATGGTTTGCTCAGCCTACTTTCTTATAGAACTCATGACCATCTTCCTGGGGTGGCACCACCCACAATGGGCTGGATTATCTCACAGCAATCACTAATTTAGAAAATGTCTTAAAGCCACTTGGCCCAGGTGGGTGAAAGACACCCATGGTTTGCCCTGAGTCCTCATCGTGCAAGCTGGTTGAAGACATCCGCATCCTTTATGGACAGGTAGGGACCATTCAGATGAGAAAATGCATGGTGCAGAAATGGGGAGAAAGAGAAGAATGGCTCATGTGCGGTGGGAAGAGAGAGAGCAGGAGGAAAGAAGGAGTGAGGAACAGGCTGGTGTGGGTGCCCTGCTTGCCACCCGGGGCCATGGTGACATCTGGGCCAGCGCTGCTGCCAAGGGCCATGTCTGGTTCCGTGGTATTACTGCAGTCAGCCCAGTAGGGACAGAAATCAATTGTGTATATTTTGCGTGACAACCTGAGTTCAAGTATCATAGATAGAATACCAGCTGGGATGATTGAAAACAAATGAAACTATTTTCCAAGGAGATTAACACAAATAATGAAAGTAGCATCAGACCTTTTTTTCTCTCTCTAAATCCACTTTCTTTATATATAGCTGAAATATGAAACAACATGTGCCATTGGAGTCAGTAAAGCATCTTTTACAGCATCAGTGGCTGATAAAGTCAAAAGCCAATGAAATCCCTTCTGGCATCTGAATCATAGAATGCTATGAATTTTGACAGATCTTGCAATTTACAGCATGCATTCATAAGTTAAATAAAAGTTTCCAAATCGATTGTGATCACAAGTCTATATTGATGTCTTGAAATCTAGTCCTCAAACACCAAGATAATATTATAGGCAAAGTGACATATATATTTACAAATAAACACACACGTATATAAATAAAGCAATTGAGGGAAGAGAGATTATTAATCCATGTTCTTTCTGTTATTTTTTGGGGGGTACAGGGGAACAGGGTTTCTCTTTGTAACAGCTGCTGTCATGGAACTCACTCTATAAACCAGGCTGGCCTTGAACTCATAAGATCCACCTACTTCTACCTCCTTAGTGCTGAGACTAAATAAAGGTGGGTGCCACCATGCCTGGCTGAGACTATAAATTTTAAAGACTCTTCTGACACAGTGGATGTATCTTTCCATGTTTCCTGATTTTGTTTGCTTGTTTATTATTTTAGTACTTCAACAAATTTCTATCAAGTGAGATTGTCCATTTGTGAAGACAACACATTGAAACAAGCCTGGAGATACTGGGGGTTCATTCCTCTGTCCTATGCTTGTACATTTCTGTTTTCCTTGTATTTCTAAAAACAAACAAACAAACAAACAAAAAAACAACCAACCAACAAACAAAAAACAAAAAAAATTGTATTAGTTTTTTGAGCAGTTTATTCAGTATGGTTTGAATGGGTTCACCTCCTTTCTCCTTCCCCTCCTTTGCCTCCTTCCTCCAATCCCTCCTCTTTGCTTATCTGTGACACACAGAAGATGGAATACAGTCTTGGAACTTCTGACACGTCAGCCAACGGACGCTGGCTGGTGGCAGCGCTCTTAGCGACGGCGTTAGTCACTCGAGACCACAAAGTACACAGGTGCCTGGAAACAAACCTGTCCTCTCCACAGAACTGTATCGGATAAACCATGGACCAGGAAACAGAACAAACACAAGACAGTACTGAGCATGAACCGGTGGAAGAGGAACCTGAGAAGGAACAAGAGCAGTCTGATGATCCCAATAAAGTATCCCCGTATCTGACAACATTTCCAACTGCCATGATGAAGTTTGCAAGTTTCAGAAAAAATAAAGTGCCTGACTCTTCAAACGCCACGAAGGTACCAGATGCAAAAAAGCAGCCCTTGGAAGGGCCATTCGCCTTGGGCCCTCTAGTCTTCCCTAAGTTACAGCGTTTCAACAACATTAACTTCTTCCTCATTTTGTACTGTATGGTGGTCCTAGCTCAAGGTACGTTGGAGGAGCAGGGCTGCTCTGGGGTGTTGAGGAGTGAGGTAGACAAGGTGGATACACACTGAAGAAAGGAGAGGGTCCATGACCAGGCGCGAATGGAATAAAATATCAGCCAATCCAATGCCTGTTGTTACCTCAGGTCTTGACTGCCTGCCTGGCAGGGTGCACTCCGTGCTGTGAACATCATGCTGCTCTTCAGATACAGAGGTTATGAGAAGGTGGTGTTGAGCTAGTTCATGTTATTTGATGACCAAATTACGTTCGGGGTTGAATTAAAATAAAGTTGAAAACAGCATTGGCATCATAGGGTGGTTTCAGTTCCCAATTTCGAAACACTATAGCAAAGCGTCTTTCTGTTTGCATTTTGTTCCTTCCTGTGTGAATTGAGGGATGGTGAGATTTGACGGGGTCCACATCATAAGAAGAAATACTGGAGTATTTTCATCCATACTTTGCCTTCTTCCTCCTGACTCTTCCTCCTCCTCCTATTATTTTAGTTATATATTGTGATTAATAATTTTAGTTAATAAAAAAAAAAAAACAAAACTCACGAAGCTCCATCAGTCCACTTCTGAACTTAATTTTCTTTGCAAGGGGTCTGGTTAACTTGGAGACTACACTTTGCTCACTGCCTTTGACTTGGCTCTCACATTTATGTGATGTCAGTGAGAGGCTCGGGCAGTAACCATCAAACGTATAGCAAGAATTTTCTATGGCTTTCTGCTTTGCTGGTGATTTGGGCAGCAGGAGCAACCAATCTCGATTGACTGAAGTTCTTAGAGGTAAAATAGGGAATTGACATCCTATCTGCAGCCATCCCGAATGTTTCCTCAGCACGTGCTACTTGGGTCTAGCTGTGACAACCGCCCGAGCAACAGACAAGCAGGCGATCAGCTGCTTCTCAGTGTCTGAGGCAGTTGGACAGCAGCAGTTGGGTGTAGTGAAGCAACAACTCTCGGTCCAGCACCTTTGCAGACATAAGAGTTTTAATTTGCAACTATTTTCTGTTTTCACTCCAAGAAATGTAATAACATTTTGTAGCTATTTTCTGTATCAAGTTATTTTTGTATCATTTTCGCATGATAATGGTTTTATCCACATTGTACTCTGGTTTATTTAATGTTAAAGAACATGAAACAATTCACAGGAATATATTCTGAAAATGCTCAAAAATCTTAAAAGCTTCAAGAACAGTATCCAAGCTATCAAACAACCCTACTGTTGGACAAATTGTATACACATTTTGGCATTATTTATTTAGCATTCAAGAACATGAAATAATTTACATTGAATGTATACTTTTTTTTTTTCAAAAAGATTGAAAATTCCTAGAATGGTTAAACTTCAGTTGATGTAAATTAAACTCTTTGAATGATTATAATGGCAATCTGATTTATTTATTAAGATGTGTTATATTGCCTTTTGTCTTTCTCTTGATTTTAGGTCTTGTATTTGGTCTTGTTGGGCTGAGTATTGGACATTTTCAGAAGGAATTTTATCTGTCAAGGCCAGAGAAGGTTGTATTGATCTTCAGTTATGATGTTATATCTTTGCTGGTAGCAATACTTGTAGCATACTATGGAAGTAAATGGAACAGGTCCAAGTGGGTGGCAGCTGGAGCCTTTTTAGTGGGACTTGGATCCATTTTTTGTGCTATTCCATACATGAAGTACGAAATTGTAGCACCGATGGAAGAAAATGAAGGTGAGGTTTTTAAAAATACCCTAATACTCTGAATCAATGTTTATTTAAATCATTGCTTCAAGCAATTTAAAATAGGCCATGATGTATGCCTTTGTATCTTTCCTTGTTTATGTAACCATGCTTATTGACTAATTACTAAGTCTAATTAATTAGCTCTTTTATTTCCCTCACAGAAGAGATAACCCTAGGAAAGAATACTGTAGAATACTATTTATCACCTGTTGAAATCTCCTTGTTTTTATGCATGATTTTGTGGAAGTTCCTTGATTTTCTACACTTCTTCCCTGTGGTGAACTTCAACATGCATTTCCCCCAAAATACTGCAACAGAATTTCTTCCATCCTTCCATTAACATAAGTCTTGCTAATTACTACAGTGAAAACTTACTTGTTATGAATTTAGAGCTTTGCCCAGTATTTTTTGTAATACTGAACAACTCTTTTTGATAGTTTCCCTTTTGGGGCTTGCTATGTGTGCAAAATTTGTATGTTATTTATAATCTTCAATTTCCTTAACAAAGTCTAATTTTTTATGGTTGAGACTCAAAAACATTAGATTTAGTATAGTCGTGGGAAACATTTTTTTGTTCCAGATACTATTCAATGGAAAGCTCAGATATGTCTCCTTAGGAGTATGTAGACAACTAAGTTCAAATTTCTAGAACAAGGCACAGGTAAAACACTCTCTGAAGGTGTTTTATGATTGCAAAGAGCATGAAGGGTTTTCTTTCTGTTCACAATGAAGTCAAAGTGGGCATTGAATGCCACATGTCTTGTTTTGTCTTGTTTTCTTCAGCTCTGAAGCTATAGCTCAAAAATCATAGAAAATGGGTAATTGACAAAGGTTATAATTGTATTGAGGGCTTGTATGTTGCGATAGAGAGCAAAGTGATATGATTACCAGGGAAGAAACGTAAGGGACAACTGAGTTAACAGGAGCATTCTAACAGGACTCACACACTAAAATCATTAACTAGCAGATTTAGGAGACTGAAAATTAAGAACGAGTGACTGTTGTATACTCAAATAAAAACAGCCCCCCCCAGGCCCACAGGACATTGCAGAAGAGAAAGGAGAATGAGAGAACTCAATGACGCAGAGTGTGTGGGAAGTAGTGTGAAATGCTGGACTAGGTATGAAATGGCCATTGTAATCTTGAACTCATGGAAGCTGTGAGAATCTGCACACAAATTATCCAAGATAGCATCTGCAAACATCCTATCATGGAGGGGGATGGAGCTCACAAGTCTCTGTGCATTCCTGAAGATTTTTTTTTCCTTATAAAACACTGTTTATTGACCAAAACCACAACCAGAAGACAGGTCGGTTATGGTGGTGCATGAACAGTATGAGTAAGCCCGAACTTGAGAATTCTAGCTGGCAACCAGAAATGAAATATACAGAAGCAAGTTTATAGAGATTTAAAGGTCACAGATGTTGAAAGTTGATGCAATAGAGAAATCATGGTAACATCGTGCATCCACTGAATGGTTGCTACATAGTAACCAGTTTCATAATTCCCTTTTTCATTAAATATATACTTTATCTTCATTGTTGTGGAGACATTTGCTTCTATATTGCCCATGAGAAAAAAAAATCTTATAAATACTGTCCCTGAAAATTTAAGAGATATGACAGTAAAAAGTGTAGAGGGTCACATTCACATAGCATTTTTAGCCAAATGGATTTCAATTATTAAACAAGGTATTTTAGCTACAGATCACTACAGTAAAAATTCAATAATTTGAAATAAATATAACTAGTATTCAGATTTAGAAATATTGGCATGCTGTCTTTACTGGGGTGGGGATGGAATTACTTAAATTCTGTAGATGAAATTGAGAAGATGTGTACATCTTACTTGTCCAAACGGGCCAGGGCAGGGCCATGATGGTGCAAGCCTTTAGTTTCAGCTCTTAAGAGGCAGAGGCAAGCAGATCTCTGATTTCCAAGACAGCCTAGTCTACAAAACAAGTTCCAGGACAGACAGGGCTACAGAGAAAACCTGTCTCAAAAAACAAATCTACAAACCAAATTTGGTTTCCTCAAGTTGTAACATATCCTTGGAAAAGAATAGGTAGTCTGGAATTTGTAAACATCGCTGATCCCAAGGTAGGCTACATATTTCCAGTCATTTACAAGATGTCTCCACCAAAAGAATTCCATAGCACACTATCATATCTTTCTGTTAGAACATGGGCATAAACGTTTTAATTCAGGTGCCATATCCTAAATCAGGTCATAACCCCTTGCCATTCTTGCTAAAACAGGGTTTAAAAAAACAATTTATGTTTTAGCATGGTCACACACTCCTTTAACCCAGCACTCAGGAGGCAGAGGCAAATGGATCTCTATAAGTTCAAGACCATCCTTGTCTACATAGTGAAGTTCAGGCTAACTAAGGCTATACAGGGAAACCCTAGCTCAAAATAAATAAATAAATAAATAAATAAATAAATAAATAAATAAATAAATAATCCTGGAGATTTCTATGTAGCTAGAGAGGCAGATGAAGTATAGCAGTCAAGTCCCTGGCAAGGCGCCTCTGTGTCCATAAACAACTGTAAGCAATTCTAATGCAACTCATTGAGCCATTGAGAAAAACAGAAATAGAAAAAGATGAAGCAGGAGGAAGAGGAGAAAGAAGAAAAGAAGAAAAAGAATGTAGATGAAGGCTCTAATTGGGAAGAGGAAGCCAACCAGTGGGAGTGGGAGGCGAACGGAAAGAGAAAAATGATGCAACTGATCTGAACACATCCCATACATACATTTAAAAGTCACAAGTAAACCCACTGCACACATTATGCATTATTACATTACAAAAGATAGGACAGGGTGACCATGTTAAGTTAAATGACAATTTAAGGGACATCTTCCCCAGAAACTAAGACAAATAACTTTTCAGTAATACAATAGGTTGTAATCTTTACTAGTTTTTCTGTATTTCAAGTGTATGTTTTAAATTTCTTCCAAGATGGTCCTAAAATGTATGGTTTATTATCACCTGCTTAGCTTTACCAACCTACTACAAGTATAGATACACAAATCCTATCACTATGTGAGTAAGAAAAGTAAACAATAACATCCAAAGATTTTTAAAAATATAATGGATAGACAACTACAGAGTTTTGTCTTTTTGTTTATTATTTTTTTTCTTTTTTTGTGTGTGTGGGGTGTTCTCTGTGTACCCCTGGCTGTTCTGTAACTCATTCTGTAGTCCAGAATAGCCTTAACCATAGAGATTCTCCTGCCTCTACCTTCTTTGTGCTTGCATTAAAGGCATCTGCCCACACCTGGATACCTAAATGTGTAACTTAACACCTTGCTTTTATGATCTCATGTACACTTAGATGTCCTATTTCTATGAATAAATGCTGACATAAACAACTTAAAAGTAGGAGAAATGGGTTTTTAGCTCACGGTTGCTGAGTGCACCCTCCATGGTTGCTAGACTCCATTGACTCTGAGTCCATGGTCAGGCAGAAAAGTCCTAGTTTTCTGAGCAATGAAAGTCAAGTTACTACATGATAAGATACAAGCAAAGTGAAGCAAGGGGCTAGGACAAGACATTCCTGTCAGAGACCAGGTGGTATCTCCCTTTTCCAATTTTAAGAACCTCGCCGAATAATATCCATATGTCATTAAGCATTATGGCATATGAGATATTAGGGAGTTATTTCATATACAAACCATAAGAGTATATATTACTGATCATGGGTCTAAAAACAGGAAATTATTTAATCATAGTGCACATGTTTTAATTTAAAGATTCCTGAGAAAGGACTACAGAACTAAACTCACATCGTTGACTTTGGCAATCCAAATAACCTAGGGCATTGCAAGTACTTTTACAAATGTTACTAGAACAGGATGCAAAGTATAGAAAAAAATGAGCACATATTGAGGAATGTTTCACTTTGCAAAGATGAGTTGCATTTGTTTAATTATGTAAAAATGTGTTGCTGTTTTATCATGCCAGCCTAAGACACCCTGATGGGTCTAATAAAAATCTGAATGGCCAATAGTGAGGGAAGAGATAAAGGTGGGACTTCTGGGCAGGAAGATGAAGTAGGAGGAGGAATTTAGGCTCAGTGGGGGAAAGAAAAAGAAAAACCAGGGAGACACAAGGGGCCAGACAGACATGGGAAAAGCAGGAAAGTAGGACATGCAGAATGAAAGAAAGGCATAAAGCCAAGGCAAAACATATATGACTAGAAACTGATGAAATTAAGGGAGCTAATGAACAAGCCTAAGCTAAGGCTGAGCAGTCACAGCTGAAAATAAGTCTTCATGTCTTTATTTAGGAGCTGGTTGGTGCCCAAAGGAAATCCCAGATACATGTGCCTATTTATGTGTAAATGTGTATGTATATACACATATCCGTGTACATGTAATGATATTCTTTTAAACACCATACTGTTTCCTTCATAAATATTTGTCTCTTCCAGTATTCATACAGTTTTCTCAATTGTGCTATTTCTATTTAAAATATGATCATTAATTTATTGTATGACTACACACAATGTAAGGACATTAAATAAAATGGAAAAGTGGTGGTGATGGTAGAAACTACAAACTAACTGTACATTTAATTTTGAATTCAGCTCAGTAAAATATAATTCTTATCTTTCTGAAGAGTTATGCATAGAAGATGAAGACCGGTCAATGGCAGAATGTGGGGAAAGCCTAGTACCACACAGATCAGAGATCCTCTCTCTCTTCATCTTCGGACAGTGTCTCCAGGGACTTGCAGGGATGCCTATTTATATCCTTGGTGTGATCTTCCTTTATGACCACACGGCCACACATTCAGCTGGCATCTATCTAGGCAAGTTTGGAACTTTTGGAATATTCATTTGGTTTCTGGATGTTTTAACTGACACCAAAGTACTGTTGGCCCTGTGGTGACACTGTAGTAACTACTGGTGACTTGTTTGATTAACTTCAGAATACCATTAATCTAACTAAATCTGAAATTTGCAACACTGCACAAATCAGCAGAAAATAGATGTCTCCTCCTCTCTTTCCCTCTGGGGTGAGGGTGGGGGAGGAGAGAGCTGAATACAGTGCCATTTCTTCCACATACAACGCCTTATATAAATTATGTTCTAAATCAAGTAAACATTGATACATCCCCAAATAATCTGTTATCACTTACTGTAATAAAGTCTGGTCCTGGTATACTCAGTGGTATCTAAAATTCATTTTCAAAATTACTTTTATACTTTGAAAATATCATAAGAGTAAATAGTATGATGTATGCCTGTCATCCCAGTCACAGGGAGACTGAAGCATGATGATTATTAGTTCAAAGCCCGTCTAGACCGTATATCAAGTACCAGGCTAGTTAAAACTATAAAACATGACTATATCTCAATACAACAACAACAACAAACTTGCACTGAAAAGGTACAATTTTTCCACCAGGTCTAAGTAACTATTTCCAATAGATTATGATAAAGAATATACTAATTTACATATACATTTACAAGAAGTGCTTGTGTCTTATAAGCATTGGTCAAGATTGGTAGAAAATACTCACTTTAGTTCTTCTAAACAGAAATTAATGCACATATCAGTACAATGTATAGAAAGGCTTACTATAGTACAACTTCCTGCTTCCTTAGAGGCTTAGGGGAATGATACAAAGGTAATTATGCAAATGCATTACCTTACTCTAGTGACATTAAAATATTTACATTTACATTGTATATAAATATATTTATATTACCTTAAATATATAGATTAAATAATGTGCAATGAAGTTCATAATTAAAGTATCTGAGTATCGAATAACCTAATACTTGGTTAGATTAGACAAGGGGATGTGCTACCCAGTCGTCCTGTGAGGCAGTACTCTATATGGCTTTCTGGCATTGCCTGAGGAATAATTAACATTCACAGTCAGACACTAAGTAAAGCACATGACCTTTTTGAAAAGAACAGGCCTCACACAAGCAATATAAAGTCCAAACTTTGCAAAGTGGCTGGTCCCAAAGAAGCAGTGATTGTGGCTCAGGACTAGCAACAACTAAAACACTTACATGAATTTCCCACCAGCCTCCTGCCCTATTAATTTGGGATTTGTTAGAATCAACTGCAGAAATTATTTACAATTTTCTCTCTCCCTCTCTTCCATCCCCTCATCTGTTTCTTCCCCTCTTTTCCTACCTGTCTTCCCCCTCTGGAGTAACAGGAAACAACACGAAAAACTTTCAGGTATCACACATAGTTAAATTGTTTTCTATTATGACCAAATTAGGTAGTGAAGCTGTTTGATGTTGTGTTCATTTTCAAGGTATTGGTGAAGCTGTACAAATACTGGGATATGGTCTGGGTTACACCGTGGGATCACCAAATCTTAAGCCTCCAAATAATCAAGCTTTGAACGAAGAGTAAGTCATACTATTTACCTTTCTATTTTGTTTACGTCATATAGAATACTTGAATAAATACTATAGCTCAAAATAATGCATGTTTAATTAGTAATAGTTTAGAAATATATAAACTCAACATGATGTGTACACACACACACACACACACACACACACACACACAGGAGGCAGCATTCCTTAGCTGTGTAGACCAGATAAATATTTAATACACAATTATCACACTCTTCAGAAATCCAGGGAAGAAACAGAAACCTAGGAACAAACACTACCGAACAAAGAGAAATCCAGAAACTGGCACCTAGACCGACAATTCTGCCAACCCCAGATACCTAGATGTCTGCATAAAATCCCAAAAACAACCAGGTTGCTATGTCTGCTTGAGTTGAGCTCTCAGACCATAGCAGGCCCCGAGTATCCCAACATTGGTGAAGCAGAGGGAGAAGAACTTAAAACCAACTACAACAGAAATCCTTAAAGAGGAAATTAATAAAGCCTTTAAAGAAGTCTAGGGACACAAAATACACACACACACATACACACACACACACACACACACACACACACACACACACTGGAGGTAATGAAATTGGAGAACCAACTATATGAATATGGTGGAAGTCCCTCAAGAGGAAATGAATAACTAAGAAATTAAATAAATGAATAACTTAAAAAATTAAAAAAAAAGCACCAAACAAAACAACAGAACAACAACAACAACAACACAACAATATCTTAGGCTGAAGGATTGGAAAAGATATTAGGTCCACATCACAAAAATTTCTTCCCACGGCAGATGGGAACTATGCAGAGTCCCACAGACAGACATTACAAAGAGAGTGAGAGACCGTGGAGCACTCATCCATAAATGGGAAGTCTCCATCAATTCCCTCCCCATCAGAGCTCAGGCAACCCTGCAGAAGAGGAGGCAGAAAGAGTGTAAGAGCCAGAGGGGGTGGAGGATAAGGACCTCTGAGTCAACTAAGTAAGAAGCTGCTGAGCTCCGTGAGAAGCAGAGGAAGCTCTGGAGGAAGGGACATGGTCCTGTGTGGAAATGGAAAAACAAAAGAAGGATCAAATACACTGAGCACAAGAAACACAAAGGAAGAGACTTCAGATGATGTGTGACTTCAAGGGTCAGGTGCCATATACAGGAGGAGCTGGTCAACTTCAGAGCAAGGCTTCTTGCCCCGGAGGTCCAGGTGCAAGATTTAAAGGAGCAGGGTAACAAAGGAAGGCTTGGTTTCCAGGAGCACAACTTTTAATGGAGATGATTTTGGGTGACACTACTTGTCACCTCAATAGTGTCACTGGAGAGGGAACTGGGAACGTTGGGATTTGATGGAGGAAGAAGGCACCACACAACTGAATACTAACAACCGACCCTCACAAACAAAACACCAAAATTAGTAGTTACAAATAAAAAATGAATGCGTATTAGAAAATTATCTCTCTCCCCTCTAATTACGATTTATTTTTTTAAATGCTCCTAATTTAAATTTCCAATTTTTCTTTATTCAAGGATAACTTACAACTTTCTAAAGGAGCAAATCAATTGGTGGGCTGGTTTCCTTAGTGCTGCTCTACTTGCATGGTTTGCATTTTTACCATTGTTATGTTTTCCAACTAATTTACCTGGTGAGTATCAAAGCATAATTAATTAGTTAAAGTGAGGCATGCCCTCAGCTCCCATTTGCAAAGCACAGGCAAACTATGTTTCTTAACTAATATGATTTTCCTGCAGGAATTTTTCTGTGATAAATACTATTATAGAGTTGTTATTTTGTTTTGATTTTTTTACCAAAATCAAGGAATATCAATACATTACAAATTAACTAGTGTATAATTATGTCACTCATTATTTCCTTTTATTAATATATTTTTGTTTAAAGTGCATAATTGTCTTTTAGAATTTAATTATACCAAATCTATATACCTAGTGTGTTAGTCAGGATCCTCTAAGGTGACATAATTTATAGAATGAATCTTTTGCTACATATAGAAAGGGGATTTATTAGGATGAATTACAGGCTATGGTCCACTTAATCCAATAATGGTTGCCTCTGAACAAAAGGTCCAAAAATCCTTTAGCTTTTCAGTCCATTAGGCTGAATGTCTCAGCTGGTCTTAACTACACAATGGAATCCTGAAAATTTAGGTTCAAATACAGTGAAGGGATGGACTTCCTAATGAGGGCAAAAGCAAGCAGGCAAAGAACAAAGGTGGCCTGGGGAAAGTTTGGACATTCAGTTATTAAAGAAATACAAATGGGAATTGTAATATACCTGAACATTTGGGATACAGCTGAAACAATTCTGAAAATGAAAGCTCATCTCTGTAAGAACACAGGCCAAAAACTCAAGTATTCGCTTCTGAAAGAACCACAAATGAACAATGAACATTTGGAAAATGTTCAACATCTTTCTCCATTAAGGAAACACAATGAAATTACTTTTTGACTTGTTTAGAATAGCTGTAATCAAGAGAATAAAGACTAATGAGGATTTGAGGTAAGACACTGATGGTAGGAATATAAACTTGTACAGTTACTCTGGATGTTGCACAGAAGGAAAAAAATTAACCTGAAGATAAGGGGCTGGAGAGATGTCCTAGCAATTCAGAATGCATACCACTATGCAGAGGACATGAGTTTGGTCACAACTCCTGTATCTCTGGGTTTCAAAAGCAATTGCTTCTGTGTGCATACACACACACACACACACACACACACACACACACACACACACACACAGACACAAAATTGAATGTCTTTTTTATTTACATAAATTTACCATATGACTTAGTTATACCACTCTTTTTTATATGTATGTCTGAAGGATTCTACCACAGAAATAGCTGTGTATTTTTACTTATTGCCTCACTATTTACAATAGCCAGAAAATTGAACCAGTCTAGCTGTTCATAAATACTTTAATAGGATAAAGAAATTGGAGTACCTTTGTGTTGGGAGCACAAAGGTCCTAATATGCACACGTATCCAGGGTAACCAGGAATGTTAAGTACACAGGACTGTCTTCTGAAAGGAAATGACATATAATTTCTGTTCTTCCATCCAGAAGGCTGAGAATTGGGGATTTTTAACATCCTAGTGATCTGTGGTATCTGTTTGGCCAGGCCACTGCACCAGGAGTGGGGGTGGCTAGTAATCTAAATGATCCTTACATTACCTGCATAGCCAGGGATGTCTCCAAGCTCCCACAATCAGGACCAGAGATACCTAATAGTCTAAATGGCCGTTATACTATCCATATAACCAAGGGTCCCCCCAAACTCCCACAACCAGGACCTGAGATAGCTAATAGTCTAAATGACCTTTATACTATCCTTATGACCAAGGGTTCCCCCAAACTCCCACAACCAGGGCCTGAGATATCTAATAGTCTAAGTGACCTTTATACTATCCATATAACCAAGGGCTCCTCAAACCACCCAGAACCACCACCACAAGTGGCTAACCACCCAAATGAACTCAATGTTGATTGTAGGACTGAGACTTAGGCAGGTTCTTCTTTAGGACCTTAAGTTACTACAGAACCCATGCTCCTGGGGAAAAAAATGACATGTACCCTGAGTTGAGTTTGGATGTAATTACTACCCACTGTGTGTACCAGCAATTGCGTTATACCAGGAAACCATTCTCCCAAATTATGTCGTGCTTAAACATGCGGACAATAAACCACCTGGCTTCAATCTTCCCAAGGTTTGATGCAGGTTAATGGAGTCAATCTCATCTGGGTTTTCATTCTGATTGCTTTATGGTTCATTTCTCTGCTTGACACCCACAGGGACACCTGACCAATGTACAATGGAAATACAAAATGATCAAAGTTTAAAGAAAACTGATAGAACTAGAAAATATTAAGTCAAACCAGTAAGACTCAGAAAGTCAAATACTAAATGTTGTTTTCTTCCATACATGGGATGCAAATTAAAAAAAATATGTATGTGTGTACATATATGTGTGTAAATGTATATGCATGTGTGTGTTTGTTGTGGGGGTGACTGAACTAGAAAGCTGATCATGTAAGGGTCTGAACAGAGCTTGGAGGAAGTTGGATATACAGTAACAAAATACCAATAATTTGTAAAAGAAAGTTGAGACTTAACGGGAGATAGGAGTCAACTGAAGAGGGAAGATGACATATGGAAGAATAATAGAGAAAGGGGACAAATAAGAACAAAGGATGATAACATGTATGCATGAAAATACAGTTATGACATAAGATTGCTTTACTTGTGACCTACAGGTTCACACAAGCTAAGACATCGGAAAGAGAAGGAACCTCTCACCTTTGACAAGAGACTTAAATATAAGAAATTTGGACCTAAATTGAAGGATTTGCTTAATGCTCTCCAGGTAAATTAAAATAATTTTGTTACCAAGCCAGTCAAGTCAGCCTGTTTAATTTTCATACAGAGTTAACAAAATGGCATAGGCCTGGCATTGGTGGTGTATGCCTTAAATCCCAGCACTCAGGAGGCAGAGGCAGGCAGATCTCTGTGAGTTCTAGGCTAGCCTTGTCTACACAGTGAGTGCCAGGAAAGGCTCCAAAGCTACACAGAGAAACCTTGCCTTGAAAACAAACAAACAACAACAAAAAAAGAAAGAAAAGAAAAAAGAAACAAAACAAAACAAAATGGCAAAGTGTTTACCAAATGTGGATAAAATTTCTGTAGTCTCTTAATTCAATTGTTCATTTTTCTTTTAAAGAGAGGAAGATCTCCTTTGTCATTTGGCATTGCAAGTCTCTAGTGCCAGAGACCAATGATGCACAGCTGCAATGTTGATTTAATTTTTAATTGATTTTATATTATTTTGTGCTTATGCTCTCTGGAGAACTAAATGTGACATATAACAAGATGGCATGAATTGGAAGATCTTGTGTCTACACATACCCCCACAAACATACAAAAATCACAGTATTGAATATAAAATCCTTTGTCTCTGAAGAGTAAAAAAAAAAAAAAAAGTCCTGTCATAATAGCAAGCAGATAACTGGAGATAACTGGATCCAGAGGAAGCCCCTTCCAATACTCTTGTCCTAGTTTGAATGTTTTTTTTTTCTTCTACGTAAAACTTTCTTTCTGTCATATATAATGCATGGTTGTAATCTTCACATGCAGTTTTTGTTCATTTTTAGTGAATTTTTCTCTCTGGACAGAACTTGCAAATGTCTTCAAAATATCATCAACTGAATTTTCGTAACTCACATTACGGCTGTTTCTCTGTCTTCCCAGTTTCCAGTAGTTTTCCTCTTTGCTGGAGATACTGTCTCATTCCTCACTGATCTACTCAAAACATCCTATTCATTTAAAAAATATTTTTTGAAATTAAAACACAATATAGCTTTCCCACTTCTCTCTTTCCTCCCTTCTTCCCTTCACATGTCCTTCCCCTCCCCTACTCACGGAGCCATAATGTATCTATTATGTCATAATTCATGTTTCCCTTGACATACATATGTTCATTAATGATGAGACTTCATTTAATTTATAGCTTTATAATACTCATATATCTGTATGAGTATTATATGTATTATATACACAGTCACAGTTTTTTTTATCAATTTATTGATTAATAGGTACCTAGGTCAACTGCATGTCATATATCTTGTGAATATTATAGTATTTAACTTGGGGTATGGGTATTTCTTTGGTATGCTGATCATTTTTTTCCTTGAGATCACTGTACTTTGAACAGTTACTTAGTGTGCCCTAAAGTTCAGTATGGCAAGAAGGTCTTATTCCCAGAAAAATATTAAGATGCTTGGGAAATCTAAGAGGTGGAGCCTAACCAGAAGTCCGGTCACTAAGCATGGATCCTGAATGGTACTGTGGAAATATGATCCATTATTCTATCTTTATTCCTGTCCTGGCCATGCAGCGATGCATCAGTTGTGTGAGGATGTGCTGCTTGAACCAAAGCAACTGAGAAAATGAGCCGTGGTCCAATCCTTAAATTTATAAGGAATATAAATGCTTATATTTTTATATATGAAATACTCAATCATATATATGGTAGATCTCTTAATTTTTGAGTAACATCAATTATTTTTGTCTCTCTTATTAGCTGGATCAGTCTTCATACATACCAACAATGTAAAACAGCTTCTTTTCTTCATTCTTGACAGAATATTTTGATAATAAACATTTGTTATCCCTCAGGCAGAATGTCTGCCTACTGCAACTTGAGAAAGCAATAGTTTAATTTGACTTATCATTTTGGACAATAATCAATCATGGCAGAGAAGGGGTGGCTATAGGCAGGTACATGACAGGGGGTACAGGTGGCTGGATATACCTCATCTCTTTCTTGATGGAGTAAAGATTAGAGGATAAAGGAAGTAAGGTTGGCTAGAATATGAACCTCAACTCTGTTCTAGCAGAGGCATACTCTCTCCAGGAACTCACTCCTACCCAGCAAAATTTCAAATCTCCACACAGTGCCACCAGCTAGTGACTAAGTGAGCTTGTGGGTAGAAATGTAAATCTTGACCATAGCATCATTTTAAGTGGGATAAGAGGTATTTCATTGTAACTTTCACTTGCATTGCCATGATGGTTAATTATTTTTCCATTTTTGTACTATTTCTCAGATATTTGTATTTCTTCTTTTAATACATATTCAGATCATATGTTCATTTTTGAATTTGATTAGCTTTATATTGTTTCTTCAGAACCTTATCTGTTTTGTGTATTAATCCTTGGAAATAAGAATATGTGGCAAGCATTTTCTTCCATTCTGCAGCTGTCTTTTCACTCCTGTGGTGGTTTTTCCTTATGCACAGAAGCCTCTTGTTTTTAAAGTTATCATGCTTATCTGTAAAGCTTCTGTTTTCTGTACCTTTGTAGTCATAGACAAAAAGCATCATCATTGCTCATACTGATACACTGTAGCCTTTGTGTTCCATCTTACTATGTTTAGTTTCTGGTCTTACGTTTACATTTTAATCACCATTGAGTTGGGTTTTTCTACAGCATGAAATCAGAAGTGAACACCTGTCTCCTCTTCAGTGTTTACTTTAGACTCTTTATAAAAAAAATCAGTTGGCTACAGATGGCTGAATATTTCCTGAATAACCTGTATAGTTTTACCCTTTACTCACTGGGGTCTGTGTCTTCATTTCTATCTGTGTTATGCTTCTTTGTCTACTGTGGCTCAATAGTATGTCTTTATATCAGGTATACTGACACCTCCAGCTTTGTTGTGTTACAGACTAATTCAACTTACTGAGGCCTTTTTCCTCCCCCTTATGAATTCCAATATTGTTTTCAATAGTTCTGAAATGACATACACTGGTGTTTTTTATATGAGATTACATTGAATATATAGAAACTTTTTCATTTTCCATTATTCTCTTTATAATAATCATGTGTGATCTTTTCATTTTTTATATGCCTACTTCAATTAATTTCAGTGTTTTACAATTTTTACTAAAGAGGTGCTTCATTTACAAGGTTCATTTCTGGATATTTCCTTGCCAGCTTTTTTGACTGTGAACATTTCTATTTCTCTTTCAGAAAGTTCATGTGAGTTTTTAAATGCTAATTGGCTGTATAGTTTGGTTTTGGTTTGTTTTGATACAAATTCCAGAAGCAAAATATCAGGTGTAATGTTTTAGTATTGATTTTAGGGTTTTCTCTACATGAAAGCACATAATCTTTAAACAGGGAGAATTTGACATTGTGCCTTGCTACTTGTGTACCTTTTAGCTAAATCTAAAATTGGATTATAGTCTGAAACATAATCACAAAAAAAAAATTCAGAAACTCATTTAACAGCTATACATAAACATTTCATGAAGAAAATTAAACTTCACATATGTATTAATAAACATTTTGGGTAGATTGGCAGGTATGTAATGCTAATTCATAAAATTACTATGGCCATGAATGATATACTTAGTCAAATAATCTAGAAATTAAGTACAATAATAATAAATCATATGGCACGGGTTTTACATTTTAAATAATTACAAAGTTCTTTAGGTAAAATAAAGTAGTTAATGTTGACAGTGGAAGACATGTACAATAAAGAAATGGAAATGTATTTTAAACAAGTCTTAAACAATGTAAACACAAAGTAAAATTTTATATGTTAGATCATATAAGTTCAATAGTCTTTGTTCTATGAAGGCCTCTGTAGATGGTACATTAAATGAGTAACTGATACCTAAATCCAAAGTTAATATATATAATTTTTAGAAAAATGTAATGTAATAGTACACACACACACAGACACATATACACTGAGTGAACTCTAAACTATGTGATGAAACACACAGGTTTGTGTGTATTTGTTTATAAGTTATATTCATTTATGTTCAGGTTCACATGCAAGTGTGTGCATACGTTTGTATAGTCCACATGACTTAGGTGTCATCCCTTGGCTACCATCCACACTTATTTTCATTCTTGAGACACACTAGTCTGGACCAGCTTGCTGGTAGGTCTCCGGAATTATTCACCAGTCTCCATCTTACGGAACACATAGAATGAGTGTGTGCCACTGTGCCTGAGATTTTTTCATATAGGTTCTTGGGATTGAGTTCTGTTCCTTGAACAACCCCAGCACTTTGCCAGATGGTGCTTCTCTCCAGCCCCCCAAATGAACATTCATATTTGAAAATGTAGAAACACAAAATCCATACTGCCTTGCATACGTTTGTATGACAATATTTAGAAGCCTACACATGTTAGCAAGGGTTAATAAGTGTTTCTAATTATATGGTCTATGCCACTTAGCTATTGCTACATGAGAAAACTTAGTAGCACGACAGAATACTATTTTACTTATCAGTGAAAAATCGTGTGAGGCTTATCCCGTTAACTGTACATGGGGTGACTGAGGTGCTCACAATGTGAAGGATGGAACGATCTCAAGGCTTCTTTGCTCTAATATTAGCATTATTATAATGTCCCAAAGAACACTCACACATGGCCTTGCTGACAATCGTAAGGCCTTCCCATGCTCGGCGACTTAGTGATGGAATGGTACAGACCTGCAAGTGCCAGACCTTATGTATAGTTCTGAGGAATCTTAGAGTATAATCTGTGTCACTAAGTAAACTAGACTCTGAGATGTTGAGGTGTTGTTGTTATAAAAAGATAAAACCTGAAGAAAATTCTGGAGCAAAAAGTGAAATAAATTACTCATAATCCCCAATATCTATAAATGTCCTCCAAGAACATACAATTCTAAAGATGCTCTTGTCAAAGGAGATGAAGAGTATGTGCATAGGGATTTTTATTGTATGTAGCCATGTTTGTGACTCTGGGGAGTTGAAGGTGACATAAGTATTTGATCCTACAGGAATCAACAGATATAGTGCAATCACATGACACAAAGTTAGGGAGCTTTCACCAGATGGGTCAGGTAAAAGTGAAACAAGAGAGATACTTTCAACAAGCTGACAGATCCAGAGATAAAAGTTATGTTTGCATAGAAAGCAACCTAACTACAAGCCTAACTACCACCTAACTACATTGTGTGTCTACTAGGGAACCACATAATTCTGTTTGGATTAGTACATACATTCCATTTGGATTATGGGGAAACAGTTCTGCAGATGGGCAGTTGGCATTGGATGAAATGAAATCACTGAGATATGGTTTGTTCTGTTTCAGTGTCTCTCCAAGTGCCCGCTACTGATATGCCACGCAATGTGCAAAGCCACAGAGTCCTTGTCTTATATTGGAGCTACAGAATTTTTGCCCAAATATTTAGAAAATCAGTTTTTGTTAACGCCCTCACTTGCTACTCTGCTTACAGGTAGATTTTTCTTCTTACTGATTTAAAATTTTTCATGATGGATATACTCAAATATGTTATGTATATTTAAGAAATATGCCATGGAAGCAGAAGACACAGTGTACTTGGATGTCCCTTGCTAAAACTTTTTTTAAGAAAAACCACTACCTCTACATTTTTTATACAATACTTCACTATTCTGTTTCTATTACTTACTGTCTTCCTGCCTCCCATCTACATACCTGGCTATTTCCTTTTCCCTCCTCTCCCCATCCCACATAAGTGATGTATATCATAAAACTATAAGTGTACATGACTCAATAATACTGCTTTAAAAGTATGTGTATGTATATATCTGTATCAGAAACCACATAAAATAAAATAAATGACCCCCTAAGAACTCCCGTTTCTTCTCTACCTCGCCTCTTCTTTCAGTTGAGAGTGTTCTTCACATCTGAGATTCCAAAGCAGATAAATTTTCTCACCAGGGTGCTTACTGTCCTCCCTTCTGAAGTTCCTCAAGTTGATCCTAATCCACAATATTTACCTGGAAACTATTGCCCATACTTTACTAACTAAAATTATTGATTTAGCTTTCTACTAAATACATGTATAGACTTTTACATAAGACATCCAAACACTTACTTTTCATAACATTTCAAAACATAAACCAAATTCATTTAAAGGTCCTTACAGGTATATAATGTGTAATTAATTTTTATTAACTCAATAGCAACATAAAGTTCTAGAAATTCTTTTGTTTTTTTTTTCACTTACTATTTATGTTTTGTGTATGTATGTGTATATATGGTCTTTCAACAACACACACATGGACTTTAGGAGACATCTTGGGGGTGGGGGTTGTTCTTTTCTTCTACCATGTGGGTCTCAGGAATTGTGGCATGCATCTTTACTTATGAAGCCACTTTGATAGCCCTAAAATAATATTCTTCTCTGTGGCTTGATTTATTCTATTGGTTAGGATTTTTGACAACTTTGGTTTGTTGAGATGGGGTAGGATGTAGCCCACACTGATCTGGCACTTGAACTTGATCTGTAGCTGAGGCTTCAAGTCCTGCTCCACCTACTTTTAGGTGTGTTCTTCCATGCCCAGTTTTATTGGTTTTGGTTCAAGTTATCATGCTCTTCATTTTCCAGCTTTGTATTATTTTTCAGAATTTGTCTTCATTGAGTTGCTTTCTCTTGAATTATCTTTCTTAACTCACTTGTACTTTTCATCTGTTATTGCTGTTGTTCTTTTTTTTTTTTTTGATATGGAGGTTTACATTCAGTTCACATTAACAATTCTCTACTTTTCTATGGTGGACTTCATGATATGTTGCTTTCTTCTGCTAGTGTGACTTGTAATAATTGAATTCTTGTGCAACATTGAATTTGTTTACAAAAGTGTTCCATAATAAAATGTCTTAAAACTTTGCTTGTGAACAGAGTTTTGCGACAGAGATCACCATGTATGATAGCATATCTGCAAGTCTTGAAAGAGTGGGAATTGGTGGTGTATGCCTTAAATCCCAGTACTCGGGAGGCAGAGGCAGGTGGGTCTCAGTGAGTTTGAGGCCAGTCTGGTCTACAGAGTAAGTTCCAGGACAGGCTCCAAAGAAATACAGCAAAAACCTGTCTCAAAAAAATAAAATAAAATAAAACAAAACAAAGTAAAAAACAAAAGCAAAAAAGAGTGGACAAACTCTGGCACTTTAAGCAGATGTATAGGCATCAGAAATTGTGGCATGCACACACAATGGTGTCTCCTCCTGGATTGATAGCACTGTTAAAAGTTGTGGACTCCTAAATACACTGTTGATAGTGACTCTGATATTTGAAAGTGATTTGTGGGTTGGTTGTTGCATTCATGTTGCATGTGGACTGAAGGTATAGTATGGTGAAAGTAAACAATTAGAATCATAGCTTTTACTGTGTGACACTCCACCATCAAACTTAAACATCACATGCAATCTGCTCTGCTATAGCCTTGACTGTTGTAGAATATAGATGTGGATGTGGTCTTGCCTACCATTATGCTTTTCTCTCTTGCTACATTATGGATATTTGCTATGGAACTAACCTCAGTCTCCCCCCGTCTGTATGGGTGAACAGATAGGGCTATATGTTTCCCTTATTTTATCAAGTAGAAGTGACCATTATAGTTCAAGAAATACTGGGTTGTGACTGGAACAAAGTTAATTCTTCATATAAATGTAGCTCAGGGGCATCGTGCCAGCTATTGTGTACCAGGCTGTTGGATTGGTCTTCAGTTCTTGTGGGATGGAGAAGTGAGAAAGGGAGAAGAACTTTTTTAAATAGTGAAAAAATATATTAATGGAAAAGGAAATTGAAAGGCTAGAGCTGTCAGTGCTGGAACACTTGCCTAGGATACATGAACAATCCGGGTCATTTAAAAAATAAAAGAGAACAAAGAAAAATTTAAAAGATGGAAATAGAAGTAAAAAGAAGAAAAGGGAAAACATGAAAAGGAAAACGGAGAAAGGAGGAGAACTCGATAAAATTAGGACAAAAGCGAGAAAAATGACAATAAAGAAAAACCCATATTAAATGAAATCAATGGAGGGAAGATGAAGTGAGATCACCTCCCTGGCAAAGGTCTCTCCGGATCTTCTAGAGTTGAAATGCTCAACGAATAGGGTGAGAAGAGTAGGTTGCATTTGAATATTTTTCTAATTCCCCTCAGTTGTTACCAAACTAGTAGGGAGCAGAATCTGGCTGTGCCCCGCATTGACAAAGTCGGGGACTGCACTAGCTGTGCGCGCTCTCCAGGGTCTGAAGTCTGCAATGCTCTGCACATGGACACTGACGTAGAACAGGGAGTCTGTCCTACCATATGCACACAGAAGGAATAGGCTGCTTTATCTTCACTCAGGAAGTTTTATTCGGCACAATGGCTGCATAGACAGTATTGGGGCAAGAGCAAGCTCTTCTCACTAAAAACTGAATTCAGACAGACAATGGACAACACTGAACCATTTCCTCTGAAGGTTTTTACTTTTTGCAACCTAGCGTCCACAAAGCATCCAAGACGGGGGGCATGCCTAGAATGTGTGAGCATAAACCCTTCAGTATCTCGTCTCAGAGAGACTCACCCAGGTATAACTGCCTCACCTTTGCTTACAGTTGCTGCTTACCCTGCTATGCACAGAGGTATCCAGGAGAAGTCCGGGATGTAAGTATATCTCAAGAGCCGCTGAGTCCCTGACAGCAGATGCTCTAGCACTAAGATGTCACTGGTGTTGTTAACTTCTTTTGTGGCTCCAGCTTGTTTTCAGACTCCAGGCTAGGTAGTACAGGCTATTTGTCTGTAGGATGCAGCCGTCAGTGCCAAGTCTAGGTTTCCGCTGTAACTTCCTGCTAGAAACAGGGAGTCCACTCCTCTACTACATTTTGAGTTCCTGGAGTCAGGGTATTTGCTCGCCTTGCTTTGCCATTATTTCTGGTCTGTGGAAGATGCTAGGTTTGATTTTCTGTGCAGACAGCTAACCATTGCCCACCCACTTCTCCTTCAATGACAAGTTCCAAATCTATTATTTTGTTTTCATCCCTATTCTACCACTTTGGGCCTGAAGTTGAGTTTTATCAATTATGTGTTTTTGTTGTTCACTTTTATTGTTTATTCTTGTTTTTCGCTGTCAGCTTTAGTTCTTTCCTCCTCGATCTTTTTCCATTTTTATGGAAGTTTTATTTGTAGTTATTCAAATTGTCACGAGATTTAATCTTGCAATTATGTTGTTACTGGTGTTTATTTCTCTACCCATAACAGCCATACACACATCAAGCTGGTTGGATTTTTGTCAATTTGTGAGTTAACTACATCACACAGAGTATTTTTAATTTTTCCCTGTCTTCTCTTTTCCTTATATTTCCACCCTGCATTGTTATCGTTATTTCCTCTTTCTAAATATGTACACTTAAGTAGAAAAAGACATAGCTCATACTGGGTACTCTGAAGTCTCACATTACAAGTCCGTTCATGTTGACCTTCTCGAGAAATCTCAGTGAGTTGGTCCAATTCTTGTTCATAGGATGGGTTTAAAAAGCCTGTTATTTCGACTAACTCTGTTGTAGTAAGCCATGCATTTAATCAGCTAAGTAACAATATCTCTTAATAAGATAGCCCATAACTTCTATGTGATGTGAACTAAGTTCCTGGCTTAGATATTAGATACCTGGTATTTCATACCTAGTGTATCTAATCTAAACATGACCCCCACTACCAGAATCCAGTAGACCTATAGTGGTTCCATTCCCATGCACAGGATTGTGTATATTATGAAGTTCAGATTTATACAAATACCACATCTTCTAGCATTTTTTTTTTTACTTTAAAAATATGTATTTGAGTAGAGGGAGTGGAATCTATATGTTATTTTTTGGTACTCTCATAGGATATGTTTTAACAGTATTTTCTTCTCCTTTTTGCAGGAATTATTTTAGTCCCAGGAGGAGCAATTGGAAGTTTCCTAGGAGGTCTCATTGTTTCCAAGTTGAGAATGTCTTGCAAAAGCCAGATGAGATTTGTAATGGTGACATCTATTATATCACTTCTGCTTTTTGTATTAATAGCTTTTGTAGAGTGTGAAACGGTGAAATTTGCTGGAATCAGTGAAGATTATGATGGGTAAATATGTTTGTATACTCAACATTAAAAATCATAACTGAAGTCTTATTTCCAGACTAATAATCCAGAAACTTTAAACATTTATATAATTCCTAGCATTACAATTAAGCATGCAAATGAAGTATAAAACATAGTTTTACTTTTAACATTAATAGATAGTATCTCAAGAGATAAGCTTATTTATTATGCATTTTATTTAAAGTCAAAACTAGATTATGTTAAGGTATGCAGTAAGTGCAACATGGTATTAGCATATGTATAAAGAGATTTGACCCTGTGTTCTTGAACATAACTGTCTGCAGTCTTGAAGACATCAAAGAATAGATTTAACATATATTTGAACATGCACATGGGCATTTTAAATTTAATATGAAAAAATGCAATGGGCTTGGGATGGATTGATAATAAATACTGTATAACATAAATGCAAGTGAAAACCCAAGGACTAATCAAGTGAAATGTTAAAAGACAGCAACAGCACCTTCAACTACAATGAACTAGCTAACAGCAAACCAATTTCCAATTCATGCAACTCTTATAAAACATAACTTCATCTTCACTTCTCTTACACATTCATTCAAAGGACGTAGAGGGTCTTGAATTCATAGACACAGCAACAAAAGATGTATCTGTGACTTAGAAACAAATGATAATATATAAAAACATAAAAATTAAAAGCTTTTTTCTGTGCAAAACTTTTTGTTAATATGGTGGAATGATTATACTACAGAATGGCAAAATATTTGAATAATGAAAATTCAGCAAGTCTACAACTAGAAAATTAATGATATGTCAACTGAAAAATCCTTGAACACAAAAATACTAAGACTCACCTGCTCCCTTGCTCTAGCAAGAAACAAATGGGAAAACATATCATTTCAATTGATAAGTTTGCAAATTAAGAAATAAGAGGCACAAATAAATTTCTCAAATATTCAAAATGTACAAAAACATGAATAAAATAAAATGTTACTCATTTAAATTAATGCATAAGCAAAGAATTGTAGACAATAAAACACTTAAATACTGAATGTTGTTAACAAATTAGTATAAATAATTTAAAAATTGTTTATAATTCATAGAAAATCTTTTAAAAATACTTTTTGGTTAAAACTCACTCATATATGAACTTTAGACACAGAGCAAAGGATCACCAGCCTATAATTCACACTGCCAGAGAAACTAGGATACAAGGAGGATTCTAAGAGATTCATACAAGGTCCCTCACAGAAGAGGAAAGGAACAAAATCTCCTGATCATATTGTTGGAAGTGGAGACAGAGTCAGGAGAAAGAGAAGGGAAGGAGAGCATGTGGTGGGAAGATTAAGTCAGGGAGGAATAGAAAAGAGGAAAACAAAACAAAACAATAACAAAAAACAAAAGAGAGAGAGAGACAAAAAGAGAGGGAGCCATCACAGGTTTGAAGAGAAAACTGATTATAGAGAAATGAATATCCAGAGACCTACAAGGATGACCCCAAGTAACTATCTGAGCAGCAATGGAAAGGCTACCTTATATGCCCTTCCCTGATAATGAGATTGATGACTAACGTATCTACCTTCCTAGAGCCCTCATCTAATAGCTGATGAAAACAGAAGCAGACACCGACAGCTGAACACTAAACCCAACTCCTGGAATCCAGATGTAGAGAGGGAGGAGTGATAAGAAAATGGGAGCAAGACCAGGCTACAGAAACTCACAGAGAGAGCTGACCTGAACAAGAGGGAGCTAATGGACCCCCAGACTGATAGCTGGGAAACCAGCATTGGACTGACTCAGACTCCCTGAACATGGGTCTCAGCTGGAAGGCCTAGGCAGTCTAAGAGACCTCAGACAGTGGAACCAGGATGTATTTCTGGTGCACAAAAGGACTTTGGGAGCACATTCCCCTTGGAGGGATACTTCCTTAACCTAGAGGCAGAAGGGAGGGCCCAGACCTTACTCCAAATGACTTAACAAATTGTTAATCCCATCTTGAAGGTATCACCCTCCCTGTGGAATGGGGGGATAGTATGGGAGGGGAGTCAGGGGGCATGGGAGGGAGGGAGAGGGAACTGGGATCAATGTGTAAAATAAGAAAAATAATAATAATAAAAAACAATTATTTTATTTTCCCTTAGTAAAGAATTACACATACTTGAAAGAGCCTATATACATAAGCAGAGCAAAGACCAAAAAGTCATGAGTGGAGAAAACACTCGCTTAAAAACTCAGCTGCTAAAGATCAAAACTTACTGAGCTCAGTGTTCAGGAGCACTGGTTCTCCCGCCAGAGGACCAAGGTTTGGTCCCCAACGTGCACACAGAGGCTCATAACTGTCAGTAACTTCCTTCCCAAGAGACTCAATGGCTTACATTTGCATTCATGGATGCTGAATTGTTGGGATGCCTCACTGGCTGGTCGAGTTGCAGTGTGTCACAGCCTGACAGCTTTCTCCAAAGGCTCAGCAGCATGGAGACTCCCTCCCTCCCCAGCGAAACTTCCAGCTCTCTCTCTCTGCCCTATCTCCCTGCCCTATCTGGAGAATATGTTTGGCTGGGAAGACTGACCTTATCTGAAAGTTGTCTCTAGACTTAGAGATGATTGATCTTTAGCTTGATCCTTGGCACAGACAGATTCCTGCCAGAAGCCTTCTCTACTGCACATATGATAACTAAGACTTGTGCCAGAAGCCTTATGATAGGACTGTACCACTTAATACAAATTAGGGTTTGTCTCCAGCTCCCCAGTCCTTTATGTTCCTTATAGTCTGGAATAAAGTTGAACTGAATCACTGAAATCTGTCTCCTGGAGGGCTGTCTCCGTGGTACCCACAGTGAACCTGCTTTTGTTCCCTCCACTCTTGTGGACAAATGTAGCCAGTTATCCCAAGAAGCAAAGCCACACTATACTCACATGGTGCACAAACACCCATGTACATAAAATAATTCTAAAATAGTCACTATAAATCATATACACCATTTAAATATTCTTTTAATACTTACACAAGGATCACGAAAACATAAGTCCATAGAAAAGTAAATAAAGATTATTTGTAAGAAGAAACAAGAAAAAAATATAAGATTTTTGTGATTGCTTTTTATAAAATTTTAACAAAGGGACAGGAAGACATTACTAATAAGCAGAGGGACTACACATGGGTATAGGAACTCTTTGAAGTATGTGCATCAGGGAGCAAGGAGCAGCCCATTGCAGGTGATGATGACTTCCTTTGTTTACGTAATTGTGGTGACAATTTTGCTATAGGTTACAAAAATTCAAGGGGTACATTTTTAAGATTTTTTATATTTATTTATGTGAATGAGTATATAACAGCATGCATGTATACATACCACTTGCATGCCTGGCGCCTGCAGAGACCATAAGTGAGCATCAGATTCCCTGCAAATGGGGTTACAGGTGGTTGTAAGGTGCACTGTAGATGTTGGGAACGGAATTTTGGTCCTCTGGAAGAGGAGGAATTGCTCTTAAGAGCTAAGCCTTCTCTCCAGGACTTTAAATCCATAGTTTCATATTTTATTTTTACCTTAGTAAATTTGTGAAAAAGAAATTATTTCAATAAGGGTGTTTGTGGGTCTTACTGACACCTTAATGTCTGCATCGACAATTTAAATGATGGCGTTATAATTTAATTCGCTCTCAACTTCGCAGGTCAGGTATCATGGGAAACCTCACAGCTTCATGCAATATGCACTGTGGCTGTGCAAGCACTGTCTATGCTTCTGTGTGTGGGAGAGACGACATCGAGTATTTCTCTCCCTGCTTTGCAGGCTGCAAATCTAAGAAACACTTAAACAACGAAAAGGTAATTTTTAGTTGGGGATGGAAACAGAATCAGACACCCACATCTAAACACTGAGCCGAACTGGAATCCAGAGGCAGAGAGGGAGGATAAGACCAGGCTACAGAAACCCACAGAGACAGCTGACCTGAACAAGGAAGAGCTAATGGACCCCCAGACTGATAGCTGGGAAACCAGCATTGAACTAACTCAGACCCCCTGAACGTGGCCTGGGCAGTCTAAGGGACCTTTGGCAGTGGAACCAGGATGTATCCCTGGTGCAGGAAAGGACCTTGGGAGCACATTCCCCATGGATGGATACTCCCTTAACGTAGAGGCAGGCCTAGTCCCTACTCCAAATGATTTGACAGATGTAGATGATCCCTCCAGGAAGGCATCACTCTACATGTGGAGTTGAGGGGGTGGGATGGGAGGGTGGTCAGGGGGGATAGGAGGGTGGAAGAGAAAGGGGGAGGGAAGGAGGGAAGGAGGGAGAGGCAACTGGGATTGATATGTAAAATAAGAAAAATAAATAAATAAAAAACAAAAATACACACACCCATATATATATATATATATATATATATATATATATATATATATATATATATATAAAGAAAAAGTAGGAACATGCTCATTTTATAGTGACTAGATTTTGCTTGCAGCTCTCTAAAGTTTTGCTTTTTATTTTTCCATATTTCTAGTTTTAACAACATGAAAAGAAAACCCAGTTTACCTTTCCCAACTCACTAGACTTTGAACACAATCTTTGACACACACCCTTCACGCAGGGTTGCCAGGAGCTGTCCTGTGAGTCATCTTTCTCTCATATGTGCCTTCTGCTGAGATTCAAATGCCTACTCTCCAGCTTCCTGCTGTTTCACTATCTTCTCCACAGTAACTCGGACGTAGATCTGAATTATATTAAGTGAGGTGTTGAATCAAAGACTCTACTGCTGATCCAAATCCCTTGCCCTCAGTTCTTTGTGTTCTTTGTGCACCAGATGTTATCATATATACAAGGCTTTCACAAGACACATGCCTTTCTAGAAAATTAAGTTATAGAAGTCATATGAATAAGAGAAATATGACTTAATTCAATCTGCTTAAAAACTCTAGTTACATTTGCTATGTCACTAATAAAATTTCCTATTTCCTGACTGCTACAACAACCCAGAAAACATTTAATTTTTCCTAGTTTATGTTCTGTTGCAGAGAGCAATTGACTACCCTACCATTTGTCAAGTCTGTGAGGTCCATTTCTTTGTGTGTGTGTATGCATGTTTTGATGCATGTGTGTGTGCATGTGCCCATGAGACACATGTACAGAAATATGATATCATTTGATACCTAAAATGGAAAAAGAATCACTGCCCACTCTGCCCACTCCCAATATGCTCAGGAGATCTTGCCCCTTTCACCTTTTGTGGGGGACCTGGTATGACTCTCTTAAGGTCGTCCTTGTATTCTAGCTTCTCTGGCAGTGTAAACTGTAGGCTGGTTATCCTTTGCTCTGTGAATGAGTACATACCATGTTTGTCTTTTTGTGAATGGGTAACATCATTCAGGATGGTTTCTTCAAGTTCCAACCATTTGCTTGTGAATTTCAGAGCAGGAGAGAGACGATGAGGGACCAGGAAGATTGAGTTGGGGATGAATAGATGAGAGCAAGAAAAGAGATACCATAATAGAGGGAGCCATTAATAGGGTATGGTTTCAATTAATTATACAGAGCTTCCAGAAAACACTTTCACAACTACTTTATACAGAATGGCATCCAGGATTATTTTAGGTATTTCTCTTTTACAACTCATTCCTTTAGCACTGAGTTTTGTTGTACTTTATTATCTTTTAATATGTATATCAGCTTTTATCCTTGCCTTGGTAGTTCAATAATCTCAGCAGCCAGAGTGTTTCTAAGAGTAAAGACCAACGTTTCCTTAACCTATTTTTGCAATTAGCAATGTGTGTACTACTTGCATGATTCATCCCATCCTGGTTTTTGTTGTTTTTGGTTTTTGAAGACAGGGTTTCTCTGTGTAGAGCTGGCTGTCCTGAAATTCACTCTGCAGACCAGGCTGGCCCCATATTCACAAAGCAGTGAGTACTGGGATCAGAGGTGTGCACTGCCCCCATCTGACTCTATCCTGGTCTTTTGTTTTCTGATTCTTGCACATCCTTTCTGCCCTAGCCCTTGCTGTGCTCGGTCTCTGAACTTGTTAACATGTTCTGGATCACTACTGTATGAATGCCTGCCTGTCCTCTCTCATCTGTAACCTAAGTCTAGATTACCATGTAACTTTCTTCCATATGTTCTTAAATTTCTTCTCACATAGCTCTCCATCACTTCTATACCTGCTGATACTGCTAAGTATAAAATCATTTTTCTTAATAGTGCCTGCAATTTCCCCTTGCCCCTTTGTCTTGATAATAACCACATATGCATCACATAAACGTTTCTTTTGTGTTTCTCTAGTTGCCTTCCTAAGTGGATAATTCTCTGAATGGCAAACAGATTTCTCTTGCATTGTTTACAATATGTCTAAAATCAAGCTGTTGTTCAGCACACAGACATTTAGAAACTTAGGTGGAATGATAATTTTTGCTTGAGTATTTGTACATATATGTTATTTAATGTGTGTAGTAATTCATCAGCTAGGCTGATGCTATTTTATGACCTTATTTTCTTAATCTCTCAGACCCAGGCCATCTTTAAACTTCTTACTGGCAGTATTTTTACATTGTTGTTATTTCTCTGTTATGATTATTGTCTTGTAGCTTAGAGCATTTTATTTTAAATGGCCTAATAAATTTCTATATGATATTTTTATCTCCAGCCAGCCACTGTGTAAGCCGTGTGTGTGTGTGTGTGTGTGTGTGTGTGTGTATTTCTGCCTCTCTATTTCTGGGATTACAATTGCTGTTCTATGTGCTCTTAAAAATATTTGGCCTCTGGTGCTATGTGTCTTCTATGCTTAATAAAAATCAAATCCATCATAATTATAAACAAAACTAAGTATGAACAAGCTTACACAAACTTTCATAGTTGATTAATTGGCCCTATTTCAAATCTCAACTAAAATTTAATTCTATTCATTACACTATCTTTAATTTTCCTTAATGTATATTTCTATACAATGATAATAAATTTAACATAAGTTGACTACTACTACTTAAATTTGTAGACCTCTTCCTTATTTACAAAAATTATATAACCACTAACACCTACACAAAAAGTCATTCACTGGCAGGTAAAATATCTCTGATTTTACAATTAATATTGCATTTCTAAATAATGTATGTCAGGTTTAAAATGAGAATATTCATGAATTCTTAGCTGGATGCCTTAAATACAGGGGTATTCTGAAAACAGGAGCAGCCAGACCTCTGTGAGTTCAAGGCCAGCCAGAGTTACAAAGTGAGACCCTCTCTAAGGAATGCTGAGAACAGGAGAAATAGTATTCTCTAGAGAAGAACATACCAGCTAGTTATTAATGGTCAGCCCTGAAAACATTATACAGAAATAGTATACAGACTAAGAAAGTTACATTTAAGTAAATACAAATATACACATATGTGTGTATGTGTTCATAAGTATGTATTTATATAAGTTTACATATATAATATATATATATATATATGAACAATTAAAGAAAACAAAGCTATGGATTTAAAACTGGGATATGTGGAAGGGTTTATAGAGGGTAAAGAAAGGAGAAAATAATATTATATTTTAATCTTTAAAATTATTAAAATGAAAACAAGCAAAAACCTGGGCAGTTTCCCTTTGAATATTGATTTCATTTTATTTTTATAATAATAAAGCTATTGTCCCCTGTTTGTTTCTGAAATACTGTTTTTTATGTTCAATATTCATAGACATACTACAATTGTTCTTGCATTAAAGAAGGATTGACAACTGCAGATACTGAAGGTGATTTTGTTGATGCCTTTCCTGGGAAATGCAATACCAAGTGTTTTAAATTACCTTTGTTTTTTGCTTTTTTCTTTTCTGCAATTACTTTTTCTAGTTCATCTAATATACCAATCATCTTGATTATCCTCCGGTAAGTATGAAATATTTATAATTATTATACATTTACACAAGAACAAGAACACATTACACAAGAACTATACACTTAGAAATAGTTCATATATCTACAGCAAAACGATTTTCTGTGTTTTAAAGTAGTAAATAAAGAGGGAAATTTTTTGTTGTTGAAATGTGTATATACACTTAAGTTTTCCTTGTACTTGTTTATGTGCCTCACTTATCTGGATGTTACATTTAGTTTTACTTCAAAACTAAGTATATATAGTTTTTGGAAGTGCACATTTTACTCTCTAGCACTATTTAAAATCATTTAGAAAACACAGATATCCATGCATCAGTAACAAAATAAACATAATACCAACCATAGATTAGATAGATTATACCCACTTTGTATACCACACATGCATCAACAAGTGGGAAAACTTTTAGCTGTAGCATAGATGTGAGTATGAAGTTGATCCACTGGCATGGGTATTTGTCTCTGCTTCTACATTTCTCACTTAGGTGTTTGTCCAGAATATGTAAAGTCCAACAAACATTCATTTTTGTTCTAGGAACAGAATAAAAGGATATTACTCTAGATGTGGTTTTTCAAGTTAACAAGTATATTTGAATCCTAGGTATCCAGTAAAATCTAACCAACAAAATGAACAAAAATGCTTCATTCCTGGCATCAAACAGAATTGATATGTTTTGTTTTTGTTTTGCATTGTTGTTCTTCATGTGTTTTGGTGGACAGGGTCTCACTGCATTACCATGGTTTGCCTCAAGGCTGTACTTTTTCTCAACCATTTTGGTGCTGGGACAACACTCAAATGGGCAATTGATAGGATAATTTGAAAATGGGAAAAACTGGAGTTAAAGGAGGAAAAGTGGAGGAAAAAAGTATGTAATAGTGATATTTAGAGATAATATGTAAAAGAGTTAAAAAATCAACTTCCCCAAAGCAGAGCAACTGTACCTCGAATCTTGGAGTTCCAACCTATTACAAGGAATTAAAAAACAAAAACAAGACAAAACAAAACAAAAAACCCAGACCTCTTTTGGGGAAAAGTAAAAAGGTGATGGTGTAACCCTGAAACGAAACCATAGAATGTTCATTCCCTCCGCATGACAACCAATGAAAATACGTAAGATAACAGGCTGTACTACCAAAAAATATGAATTTCCCACATCAGTGATTTCAAAGGTCACCTACTCTTACCCAATCATGAACAGCCAAGACATGTACCACCCTGCTTGTGGGTGTTTTCTTGTTTGTTTGTTTGTTTCCTTTTCCTTTAAAAACCTCTTTCCACTGAGGCCAGGCACCGTTTTCCTGCAGCCTCTGTGCCTGTTTGCTGGACAGGGTACCTGCTGAGGCTTGTAACTTATCAATGAACCTTATGCATTTGTATAAGTGAGTTGGCTCCTTGGTTGTCTTTTTGGTTGTCTCAAGAACTTGGCATTGCAATATGATAGAGCATTTGGGGGAAATATTTAGCTTTGTTAAAAGGGTGGGAATTGTCACTTTGTTGGAATATGGAGAAATTCCAGAATGTATTCATTTGGGTGACTAAAAGAAGGATAATTCTAAATAAGACTATGAAATTCAAGGAAGTGGAAATGCAACTCAACACAAACTTGAGTTAGTGAAATGCCTCGGTGGGCACAGATGCTTTCTACCGTGCCGAGGACCCAAGCTCAATGCTGTGAACTCACATTGCCAAACTCTTTGTTCCCAAGCCACATAAAGACACAACTAAGAGAAAGTACTACAGACCAATACCCCTACGAACACTGATGCAAAAATACTCAATAAAATACTAGCAAATCTAATCCCAGAACACATCAGAGAAATCATCCACCATGGTCAAGTAGGCTTTATCCCCAAGATGCAGGATTATTTCAATCTCTATTATAGACCTATAATTCTGAAGACAGATTGGTATTGGCACAAAAATAGACAGGTAGACCAATGGAATTGAATTGGTAGCCCTAATATTAACTCACACACCTATGAACAACTGATATTTGACAAAGCAGCTAAAATTATAAAATGAAACAAAGAAAGCATCTTCAACAAATGGTGCTGGCACAACTGGATGCTGGCGTGTAAGAAGACTGTAGATGGATCCATATCTATCATCATGCACAAAACTTAAGTACAAATGGATCAAAGAGCTCAACATAAATCTAGCCACACTGAATCTATTAGAAGAGAAAGTGGAAGGTACCCTTGAATGAACTGAGGTACCAGAGACCACTTCCTGAACATAACACCACTACCACAGACACTGAGATTAATAAATAATACCCCTTGAAACCTGAAAGGCTTCTATAAGGCAAAGGACACAGTCAACAAGACAAAACAGTAGCCCACAGGACAGAAAAAGATATTCACCAATCCCACATCAGACAGAGAGCTGATTTCCAAAATGTACAAAGAACTCAAGAAGCTAGTTACCAAAACACCAAATAATTCAATTAAAATTGGGGTACATAACTAAATAGAAATTTCTCAATAGAAGAATCTAAAATGGCTGAAAGACACTTAAGAAAGTGCTCAACATCCTTAGCCATCAGGGAAATGCACTCTGATTTACCACCTTACTCCTCTCAGAATTTCTAAAACTCAAAACCACCAAAGACAGTTTACGCTTGAGAGGATGTGGAGAAAGGGGTATACGCCTCCCCTGATGGTGGGAATACAAACTTCTACAGCAACTTTGGAAATCAGTATGACCGTTCCTCAGAAAAATGGTAATCAGTCCACCACAAGATCCCAGCAATTTCACTCTTAGGCATATATCCAAAAGACACATATCGTACAACAAGGACATCTGTTCACCTGTGTTCATAGCAGCTTTAATTGTAATAGCTAGAACCTAGAAGCAACCTAAATGCCCCTCAGATGCAGAATGGATGGAGAAAATGTGACACATTTACACAATGCAGTACTATTCAATGGAAAAAAAAAAAACAAAGGAATCTTGAAATTCACAGGAAATTGGATGGAACTAGAAGAAGCCATCATGAGTGAGGTAACCCATCACAAAAAGACAAACATGGTATGTTCTCACTCATTTGTGGATTTTAGACATAGAGCAAAGGATTATCAGCCCACAATCCACACCACCTGAAAAGCTAAGAAACAAGGAGGATCGTAAGAGAGACATACATAGTTGTCAGGAGAAGGGGAAAGGGACAAGATCTCCTGTGCAAATGGGGAGCATGGGGGAAGGGGAGAGGGAGTTGGAGAAAGAGCAGGGCAGAAGAGGAGGGAAGAGGAGGACATGAGAGATCAGGAAAATTGAGTCGGGGGAAGAATAGAGGAGAGCAAGAAAAGAGATATCATAATAGAGAAAGCCATTATAAGTTTAAAGAGAAATCTAGCTCTTGGGAAATGTCCAGATATCTACAAGGATGAACTCAACTAACAATCTAGCCATAGTGGAGAGGCTACCTTAAATGCCCTTCCTCAATAATGAGATTGATGACTACCTTATATGCCATCCTAGAGCCTTCATCTAGTAACTGATGGAAGCAGAAGCAGATATCCACAGCTAAACACTGAGCAGAACTCTTGGAATCCAGTTGCAGAGAGGGAGGAGTAATGACCAAAGGGGCCAAGACCAGGCTGGAGAAACCCACAGAATCAGCTGATCTGAACAAGGGGGAGCTATTGGACCCCATTCTGATAGTTGCGAAATCAGCATAGGACTGACCCCGACCCCCTGAACTTTGGGTCTCCATTAGGAGGCCTGGGCAGTCTGAGGGACCTCTGACAGAGGAACCAGGTTGTATCCCTGGTGCATGAAATGACTTTGGGGGCACATTCCCCATGGAGGTATACTCCATTAGCCTGGAGATACAGGGAGGGCCAAGCCCTACCCCAAATGACTTGACAGACTTTGATGATCTCTCCTGGAAGGAGGACCAACTCAGACCACCTGAATGTGGATGTTAGATAGGAGGCCTGGTCAGCCTGTGGGGCCAATAGTAGTGGATTCATCCCTAGTATATGAATGGACGTTGGGAGCCCATTCCACATAGAGGGATACTTCTCAGCCTAGACATGTAGAGGAGAGCCTGAGCTCTGCTCCATATGATATGAAAGACTTAGATAATCCACCATGGAAGACCTCCCCCTCCATGGGGAGCAGAACAGAAGGGGGTGGGATGGGTGTTGCGGGGATATGGGGGGGAGGAGAGGAGGGAGGATGAACTGGGACTAACTTGTGAAATAAGCTTGTTACTAATTTAAAATAAAATATCATAAAAACAAATACAGCATTCTCATACATAAATGTATGTAATGAATTTTAGTTGTCTTTGCCATTTATTCTGTTCTCTTGTTTTTCCCAACAAGCCCTTCCTACCTTTAACTACTTTTCCCTTGTGTAACTTGTTAATTTGAGTTGTTTTTATCAATGATTTAAAGTTACTTTTCATTTACTTCCAGTAGTGACTATAATAACGGTGCCAAAGGAAAGAATGTACACTCAGAGATTAGCACTTTTCAGTGAAGCTGAATGAAGTTGCAACCAGATGTAGGCTGGATGTAAGGAATGCCTTTGCAGGGTGTGGTACCCAGCCACCTGACACTCAAGGGAGTGAGGGTCGGATGGAAACACCTGTAAGGAAGGCACCTGTCTGTGGCACCCAGTCTCCCTGAGTAACCATGGGGAAGAACCCTGAAACAGGGCTCAAAAAGCACCATTTAGGAAGAACCCAGTCAAAAGCTTGGAAGTTAAACGTCGTCTTACTAATACAATTTGTGGAGTGCAGACTCCACAGACATCAGCATCTAAGAAGGTGTGGCATGGACTTCACAAAGGCGAAACCGATTCTAAACACCCCTGTGCCTGACAGGCGAGGAAAGGTAGACTGAGAAACAGAACACAGGTGCATCTCACCCTTGCGGTTCTTTCTCTTGGGAAGAAAGAAGAAAGGGGGAAAGGAAAGATCTATACTGCGCCTACAGGCCACATTGAACTTTTGTCAATTAGCTACAATTTGGTAAAATTATGTGATATATACCTTATAATACATAATTCATATATATGTTTATAATATAACACAATTTATTTACATTTATGTATAAAACATAAACCTAGCACGTGTCACTTACAGGTAATACCATTGTTATTTCTTTCAGAACTTTACCTCCCAATTTAAAGTCACTGGGCATGGGTGTGACCTATACAACTTTGAGATTATTTGGTATGTATTTTTCAGATATGTTTAATGTATCAAATTGTTCATATTTATATCTAAATTTATTTATGTGTTTACTTAAAATTACAAGTGAGTAATAACACAAAAAAGTGACTAGGAGTTTACCTTTGGAAAGCTTAGGAGCCAATTAAATACGGAGAGAAGATAAGTGAAACAAAAGACATCTTGTTATATAAACCATACATAAATTGTGCTGTGTCATCGGGAGCCATGAATTTGTATCTGAAGTATCTTTATCATCTCACACAAGTGGCTCTGAGAGATCATACAAAGTATCCACACACTCATAGTAATTTCATACTTCTTATATGCTTGCAAAGTTACCAAATGAAATTTGTCAAAACTGTCTTCATCACCCATGATTCTTAGTGTGATATATCTATGGATTTAATTACTACAAGAACAAATTGGATTTTCTGGGACTTCCAATGCCATCCCAAAGCCATTATGGTTTTTTTTTTTTTTTTTTTTTTTTTTTTTTTTTTTTACTGACTTGATATTTTACAGGCCTGCCTGTGAAAGTAGCAACAGCTATTATGAGTTCATGTTTGCCACAGCTATGTTATGTCCAAAGGACAATATTTTTCCGCTGTCCTTCTCATCCTGTGGCTCTTACATTCCTTCAGCCTCCTCTTCCATAATGTTCAGGAGCCTCTGTAAAGAGGAGAGTAATAGCAATGTCACATCTGTGGCTGAGCACTCACATTCAAATATCCTTAGCACTCTGAATAGTAACAATTTGCAGTAACTCCTGACACAATAGGAAGCTTCTCTGGTGCAGATCAGGAGTCACACATCTACATAAATAAATAGTATTTAGAATGCAATTTTCCAACATGACCATTTAGAAGCACAACATCAATATTTTCTTTTCTAGGTCATATAACACTTGTATAATGCAGGGATCAGGATATTGATTTCCTTGGTTAATGAGCCAATCGATGAGTATTAAATAATGTGTTTAGAGGATCCTGTGTGTGTGTGTGTGTGTGTGTGTGTGTGTGTATGCATGTGCGTGTGTGTTTTAAGCTAGTCAATACTGTTTTTTTTTTTTTAATGAAGAATTTAAAATCATTGGCTATTTTATAGGATCCATCCCTGGACCAATACTTTTTCGATTAACAGCAAATAGTTCTTGTATTTACTGGGACATTAATAAATGTGGAGTTAGAGGACGTTGTTGGATCTATAATAAGTCGAAAATGGTCTACATATTGTTGGGACTATGTAAGTGATGTGAATTATATAAATTTAAATAAATAAAATTGATTTTAGGATTTGCAATTGCTTATAACAAGGAAATGATTAATCATGAGTAAATGCTTTGATAGTCAAAGCTTATACAATTATGTAGGAACTATTTTACAAACATACTACAGAATTTAGGTAAATAATTGTTTTGTTCTGTACAAGTTCTGTATTATTCTTTAAGAAGGGGTGATAATTAGTATAATTTTAGTTTGTTAACTGATTTTGTATGTACATTTATACAGCCACATTGATTTCCCTTATGAATTTTTTTAGCTTTATACTAGTAGATTAGATAAATTTGAATACAAATACAGCTGTAAATAGCATCTTCAAAATACTGCTCTCTCTGAAGACTAAACTTGATAATTTCTCTGCTGTGGAACCATCTTTGTACAATGTAGTAAACAGATATTAATCCCGTTGGTTAATAAAAGAGCTGGTTGGTCAGTAGCTGAATAGGTAGAAGTTCATCAGAACTTATAGACAAAAAGAAATCACATAGAAGGAGAGATTGCTAAGGGCTCCGACTGTCTATCGTCCACTGTAGAGGTCCACTTCCAAAGCTAAACTTGGATTACACGATCAGGGCTGTTCTGTGCGGGCTCCAACCTTGCCACACATTTCGGACTGGTCTCCTTGGCTTTCCTCTGAGGATGTTGTTGAAACTGTCAGGATCCCAAAGCACTTGCATTTTGTTCCCTTGGACAACTAGGACCTCTTCAATCTGCTTCCACGGGAACATTGATACTTCAGTCTGAACCATGGCTGCTTAGTGCTACTCACTTGGAAGCAAGGAGAGAAAGTTCCCCTAAGCAGCAAGCCCACTCGGAGCTATGAAGCTTAGCCACTGAAGAATCCTCCCCTGGAAGGGGGCAGACTTCTCTCCAAAGAGTTCTGAAGACATTTTGTCATTGTTCTGATGCACAATGGTCCACTCCCGTTTAGTCACATTGATCTCAGTAGCAAGTGCATACTGGGCCACACTTGTAATTTCTTCTTCCAAACATCTGGTCTTGCTTTTGCCTGACCAGGCTATGAACTCACCAAATCTTTTTCCCATTCTGTTTCCTTTTGTTCATCTGCGATTCTGAATAATAACAACCATTTAGTCTTAACAGTTCGGTGGTTTGGAACTCTGCCCTCTCAGCCTCAAGCACGCATCTCGGTAGTCCCTTGCAGACACTGTTCCACAAGATCACTTCATCTCAGTCTTCGTGGGACTGCAACAAGATGCTCCAGTCCCAGGTTCTTCTGGGATGAAAGTGCGGTTTTGCACTTTTAATCCCATCTGCTATGGAAAATGTACCCAGAGCAGATTCTATGCCACTGCCATTCACTTTGAATGTTTATCTTCTTTACGTGCAGAATATGTTAGCGTATTGTCGGGATTTTTTCCTGTTGCTGTCAGGTGGGGTTCCTGCTAGCAAGTCGTTCTTTTTGGAAGTACATCTGGAAGCATTTTTCACAATCCCTTGTTCTCCTCTCAAACTGTGCTTCCAAAAGGGCATTACGGTCATTTCCTAATAATGTTCACTGTAAAATTACAACTGTTGTCACTGGTAAGCATATCTTTGAGGTAATATTCCTTAAGATACATGAAATAGTTCATAAGTGGAAAACACATTAACATTTCTTTTTTGATTTAGCTGGTGTTAGATAACTTGTATTGTTTTGCTACAACATTTTGACTCTAAATATCAGGGCTTGTGAAATTTAATTATTTTTTATGTAATACTTGTAACTTTCAGAAATTTAAAACAAAATGAAAACTATAAAAACAGTTATATTTCCTATAAATTAATGTTTATGTGTGGAAAGTGATCAATATTTCCAAGACTAAAGCTGCTTAAAGCTTTAAGCAAGTTTCAGTTTCAATTGACAGATAAATTTGAAAAATACAGTTTATTTATGTGTTTTCAAAATAATACAGTTCATGAATTCATAAAACATTACCTTTTGGAGGCTATCTGATGCATTTTAAAATTTTTGTAAGCACTTTAAAATATTTAACATAACATAATAATTTTCATATTTGGGGAATTAATACTTTCAGAAATAAGCTATCTTTTCTTCAGTTAAATGGCATTCTTTCACAAACTTTTGATACAAATCTAGTTATATTAAGTATTTTTTTTTTAAACTCAGGCAGTGCTTGCAAATTGGCCACAACCTTCCTTAGTTTTTCTGCACTTCATAAATATGATCTTATGGTTGGTGAAAGTTCTGAGAATCTGGACCTGCCTGAAAAGGAAGCAAAAGAAACCAGAACTAGACAAAAATAATTTTTGATTTCTTCATTGGTAAGAACTTTATATTTTTTAATTTGTCAATGGAATATCATATGGATAACTTTTAAAATATTAGTGATGTACTTACATTTTAAAATATTTATTATGAGCATAAAAATATAGTCTGTTTTAAGATTGCTGAAGATGTTTTGAAACATGCACTTAGTACCTTTCTTTTTAACACATAAAAACCTCCGGGTAGTGGTACATGCCTTTAATCCCAACACAGCAGTAGCACCTGAGTTCAATAGCAGTCAGATTTACAGTGTGAGTTCCGGGACAGCCAGGGCTACACAGAGAAATCCCATGTCCCCAAACCAGAAAAATGAAACAAGCAAAACATACTGGCTCCAAAAAGTGGAGAGAAGGAGGTTGGGGGATGGTCTTTGTGAGCACAGGAGATGCAGGCAGGGGGACAGGGAAGGCAGCAAGTGTAACTGGTATTCTGCTGCAGAGCTAAGGGTGAGATTGGATCTGGGGGAACAGAATACACACTTTTTGCTTTTAATTGGAAGACAACACTTGAAAGAAGAGTTTATCTTGTATCCTGCTAGTTTGCTGAAGGTGTTTATCAGCTGTAGGAGTTCCCTGGTAGAGTTTATTGAGTGGCTTATGTAAACTATCATCTCATCTGCAAATAGAGACAGTTTGACTTCTTCCTTTCCAATTTGGATCCTCTTGATCTCCTTTTGTTGTCTTATAGCTTTAGCTAGAACTTCCAGTATGATATTGAAGAGCTATGGAGAGAGAGGGCAGCCTTGTCTTGTTCCTGATTTTAGAGGAATTGGTTCAAGTTTCTCTCCATTCAGTTTGATGTTGGCAGTTGGCTTGCTGTATATCTGTATATTGCTCTTATTATGTTTAGGTATGTTCCTGTTATCCCTGACCTCTCCAAGACCTTTATCATGAAAAGGTGTTGAATTTTGTTGAAGGCTTTTTCAGCATCTAGGGAGATAATCATGTGGTTTTTCTTTTTCAGTTTGTTTATATGGTGGATCACGTTGATAGATTTTCGTATGTTAAACCATCCCTGCAATCCAGGGATGAAGCCTACTTGGTCATGGTGGATGATTTCTCTGATGTATTCTTGAATTCGGTTTGCCAGTATTTTATTGAGTATTTTTGCACCGGTGTTCATCAGGGATATTGGTCTGTAGTTTTCTTTCTTAGTTGTGTCTTTGTGAGGTTTGGGTACCAAAGTTATTGTGGCCTCATAAAAAGAGTTTGGCAATGAACCTTCTGTTTCTATTTTGTGGAGCAGTTTTAGGAGTAGTGGTATTAGTTCTTCCTTGAATGTCTGGTAGAATTCTGCACTGAATCCATCTGGCCCTGGACTTTTTTTGGTTGGAAGGCTTTCGATGACTGCTTCTATTTCATTGCGGGTTATAGGTCTATTTAAGTTGTTTGTTCTTGATTTAATTTTGGTAAGTGATAGTTATCCAGAAATTTGTCCATTTCCTTTGAATTTTCAATTTTTGTGGAATACAGATTTTCAAAGTATGACCTGAAAATTGTCTGCTTTTCCTCTGTGTCCATTGTTATATTCATTCCCCTTTTCATTTCTGATTTTGTTAATTTGCATGTTTTCTCTCTGCTTTTTGGTGAATTTGGATAAGAATTTGTCTATGTTGTTGACTTTCTCAAAAAACCAACTCTTCATTGCATTGATTTTTTATATTGTTTTCCTGATTTCTATTTTGTTGATTTCAGCCCTCAAGTTGATTATTTCCTGGCGTCTACTCCTACGGGGTGAGTTCGCTTCTCTCTTTTCTAAGGTTTTCAGTTGTGCTGTTAATTCTCTTATGTGACTATCCTCTGTTTTCTTCATATGGGCACTTAGTGCAATGAACTTCCCTCATAGCACTGCTTTCAAGGTGTCCCATAAGTTCGGGTATGTTGTGTCCTCATTCTCGTTGAATATTAGAAAGTCCTTAATTTCTTTATTTCTTCTTTGACCCATGTGTGGTGCAATTGCACATTGTTCAGTTTCCATGAGTTTGCAGGTTTTTTGCTATTTGTGTTGTTGTTGAATTACAATTTTAAAGCATGGTGGTCTGATAAGGTACAGGGGACTATTCCTATTCTCTTGTATCTGTTGAGGTTTGTTATGCCACCTAGTATGTGTTCAATTTTAGAGAAGGTTCCATGTGGAGCAGAGAAGAAGGTATATTCTTTTGTGTTTGCATGGAATGTTCTATAGATGTCTGTTAACCCCAGTTGAGACATAACTTCTGTTAGTTCTTTGCCCTACTATTTTCAGACGACAAAGAGACAGAGAAAGAAATCAGAGAAACATCACCCTTCACAATAGCCACAAGCAACATAAAGTATCTTGGTGTACTGCTTACCAAACAAGTAAAAGACCTATATAATAAGAACTTTGTGGCTCTAAAGAAAAAAATTAAAGAAGATACCAGAAAATTGAAAGATCTCCCATGCTCTTGGATAGGTAGGATAAACATAGTAAAAATGGCAGTCTTGCCAAAAGCAATCTACTGATTCAGTGCAATCCCCATTAAAATCCCACCACAATTCTTCACTGACCTTGAAAGGATAATAATCAATTTTACATGGAAAAACAAAAGACCCAGGATAGCCAAAACAACCCTATACAAAATAAAAGAACTTCAGGAGGCATCACCATTCCTGACTTTAAGCTCTAGTTCAGAGTTATAGTTCTGAAAACAGCTTGGTATTGGCACAAAAATAGACAGGTAGATCAATGGAATTGAATTGAAAATGCTGATATTAACCCACACACCTATGAACACCTGATCTTCGACAAAACAGCTAAAATTATACAATGGGGCGAGGACAGCATCTTCAACAAATGGTGCTGGCACAATTGGATGAGGGTGTGTAGAAGACTGCATATAGACCCATGTCTGTCGCCATGCACAAAACTCAAATTCAAATGGATCAAAGACCTCAACATCAATCCAATCACATTGAACCTCTTAGAAGAGAAAGTAGGAGGTACTCTTGAACAAATTGGTATAGGAGACCGCTTCCTGAACATAACTCCAGGGGCACAGACATTGAGAGCAACAATTAATAAATGGGACCTCTTCAAACTTAGGCAAAGGACACAGTGGACAAGACCAAACGGCAGCCCACAGACTGGGAAAAGATTTTCACCAATCCGACAAAGGGCTGATCTCCAAAATATACAAAGAACTCAAGAAACTAGTCAACAAAACACCAAATAACCCTATTAAAAAATGGGGCACAGAACTGAAGAAAGAATTCTCAATAGAGGAAATCAAAAAGGCTGAAAGACACTTAAGAAAGTGCTCAACATCCTTAGCTATCAGGGAAATGCAAATCAAAACAACTTTGAGATACCATCTTACTCCTGCCAGAATGGCTAAAATTAGAAACACCAATGAGGACTCATGCTGGAGAGGATGTGGAGAAAGGGGAACACTCCTCCACTGCTGGTGGGAGTGCAAACTCGTACAGCCATTTTGGAGACCAGTATGGAGGTTCCTCAGGGAAATGGGAATTAGTTTACCACAGGACCTGGCAATCCCCCTCTTAGGCATATACCCAAATGATCCACTTCCATGAAACAAAGGCATCTGTTCAACTATGTTCATAGCAGCACTATTTGTAATAGCAAGAACCTGGAAGCAACCTAGATGCCCCTCAATTGAAGAATGGATAATGAAGATGTGGCACATTTACACAATGGAATACTACTCTGCAGAAAAAAATAATGGTATCTTGAAATTCGCAGGCAAGTGGATGGCACTTGAAGAAACCATCCTGAATGAGGTAACCCAGTCACAAAAAGAGGAACATAGTATGTACTCACTCATATATGGATTTTAGACCTAGATCAAAGGATCACCAGCCTATAATTCACACCACCAGAGGAACTAGGATACAAGGTGTATTCTAAGAGATTCATATAAAGTCCCTCACAGAACCGGGAAGGGACAAGTACCCCAGATCACAGGGGCAGTGGGGGGGGGCAGCGAATGGAGAGAGAAGTAGGAGAAAATGAGGGGGAGGAAAGGAAAACACATGCGAGTAGGAAGATTGAGCCTGTTTAGGAATAGAAGACAGGAGAGAGAGAGAACATAAAATAGGGAGCCAATATTGGTTTGAAGATAAAATAGAACACAAAGAAAGGTCTAGAGAACTACAAGACTGCTGCCAACTAACAATTTGAGCATCCGTGGAAAGGCTACCATAAATGCCCTTCCCGGATAGTGAAATCGACAACTAACTTATCCATGGAGCCCTCATCTAATATCTGTTGGAAACAGGAGCAAACACCCATACCTAAACACTGAGTCGAACTAGAACCCAGATGCAGATGGAGAGGACAAGTCCAGGCTGCAGAAACAAATGGAGACAGCTGACCTGAGCAAGGAGCAGCTAACGGGCCACCAGACTGATAGCTGCGAAGCCAGCATGGGACTGACTCAGGCCCCCCTGAATATGGGTCTCAGCCAGAAGGACCGAGCAGCCTAAGGGACCTCAGACAGTGGAGCCAGGATGTATCCCTGGTGCACAAAAGGACCTTGCAAACACATCCCCCATGGAGGGATAACTGCCTTAACCTAGAGACAGGAGAGAAGCCCTAGTCCCTATTTCACATGACCTGTCAGATCTACATGACCCCAACTGGATGGCATTCCCCTACATATGGAATTGGGGTGGGGGGATGGGAGGGGAGGGTGGTTAGAGTGCATGTGAGAGGGCAGAGAGGGTAAAAGGGAGGAAGGGAGGGAGGGAGAGGGAACTGGGATCGACATGTAAAACAATAAAGTAAATAATAAAAAAAAACACTTGAAAGAAGAGAATGAGATACAAATGTGAAAATATACACAGTTTAACCCTGCAAGGTCCTGAGTTATTTGACATAAACCATATGGGATTAACTAAGTTTCTTAGGGTCTCTTTAGAGAGTCCTACTTTATTCTTGAGTATTTTATGCATGTACACAATAAACTACCCTTCATTCTCCCCATTCCTCTCCTAAT